CTGACGATGCGCGAGGCCATCGGCTGGATATGACCAGGCAATCACGCACTACAGAAGTATCTGACGATGCGCGAGGCCATCGGCTGCTTTATTGATTATGCTTATGGTATTGCAGTCTCAAGCCCAGGTGCATGCCATGAGGGTTCGTCGTTTTACTTGTGACCCATATCAGCGTGTTCGCACTTCGTAGCCCGCTTGGAAACACGGGCAGAAGAAGACAGTAGCAGGTAGGGGTGGCTTTCGGCGTTCTTAACAGGTTTTCCTTCCGGAGACCTTTCCTTGCAACTCCGTGTTGTTGCGGAATTGAAGCTCGCCATGAAGACAGGATAGCAAATTGTTCGTGAACGGTTGGAAGCTGACAATAAAATCTTGTTGATGCGTTGTTTATGCGTCTTGGCAACAATGTTCGGGCAGCCTCCGCCGCTGACAACCAAGCTTTGGAGTCTGGATATACGGCAACGGTGACTGCAGAACTGAATAGAGTAGTTACAGTGGACCCCGAACGGCTCATGTGCAACGCCCTAACGAGCGCGACCCGCACACACAGTGGTCCTTACACGGCCAAGCACGCCTGAGGCCCGATACACCGTTTGGCGGACGACAAGGGTTGTATGAGCGGGAACGACTTTAAATGTAATTTGGCAAAAACGCGACACAATAGACACGCTAGTATTCTTAAGTGGCCCGTGCCCCGGTTTCTCAACTTAAGCATCATCGTGTGCTTGCTTGTGCACCTAGCCGGTACGGCACTTGGGTCGGCAATCGTTCCAGGTCGGCAAGGTCTGTTAGTTCTCATGCTACAAGAATGACTAATCGTAGCAAAACCTATATTAAACATTTACATGCATCGTGACTACGTTGGTATGCATAGGAAGAGATACAGGACATAATTTGGAGGCATCCTTAGGTTAACGAACTTTTCAATCATAGGAGCGTCGTCGCTATGCTCCAAGGTCATGTTCCTTTTACAAGCACCTTCGGGCATCGCCGTTTTTTCCTTCATAAACCATCGCCTCGCGGGGCCTTGACTGTCGTGGCCTACCAAAAGCTTCAGAAACGGTTGAAGTATGCCGGCACAAGGAAGCGGAACTCGCCGCTAATCCTTACGGTAGAGCCTGACGGTAGTGACGCCTGGCGATTGGAACAAATCGTGGACCTTCTTAAGAATGGGGCTGTCGGAGTCATCCCCACGGACACTTTGCCGGCGATAGTGTGCGACCTACACAATAAGGATGCAGTGCAGCGTCTTTATACAGTGAAAGAGATGGATGCAAAGAAGCCCCTCAGCTGTTTGGTGCCCAACTTATCGGCGGTCACGCAGTACACGACTGGCTTTCCGGCGTCCAACACCCCTGGCTCCCCGAACTGGTTCAATGTGGTGCGGCGTCTCGTGCCAGGACCGGTACGCCTTGTGTGCATTAGCGTCGCGTCTGCTGGCCGGGGAAGCGGGCTTCCGGCACAAGGCCTAAGCCGCCTGCACCGGAGGCCAGGCCTGTACACCATGCGACTGTGCATCCTGTGGCAATACCTTAGCATGCTCCCAGTTGTTGCCTGTAGATAATATGTTCTGTAGCACTGCTGTCAGACACCTATCTCCAGTTATCACCACGGTCATGGACACCCCTTTCCTCACCACAACCCCGTGATACAGTACACTTTCGTGCTTCCAGCCACGAAGAACCTACCCTCCCAATGCATCGACTTCATGTCTGGCAAGACCATTCATCGCAAGAGTGTCGGCATACGCCTGCCAGCGGACCCAGTCTGCCAGGCAAGCGAATCTGACGCGGGCCCGCCCTGTTGAAGCACGAGTAGGTTTGCCAAGCGTGCGCAGGTTCGCGTGAAGCCGTGCAACCTATAGCACGAGGTATCCACCAGGAGCTTCGTAATGGCACCCTCGCAACGTTGCAAGCCGCTACACTCTCACCATGGGCCAGTATCCACGAAGACAGAGGGCTGTATCCGGGAGTTAGTTGCACCGCGAAGGACCCGGGGGGGGGGGAGGGGGCTATATGCGCGCGCACGAAGGGAGCTCACGCAACAAACAAAGACCCAATAATTGAACTCCATTCCCTGCGGTAACGTGACGCCCTGCCTGGTTTCCGCATGATGGGACAGACTATCCTGGAGGGTGTGGGTGGTGTGCTACTGTGCACAAGTGTACATGTTCCGGAGGTGCTATCTGAGGACACAGAGGTGCCGGACGTGGGGTCCATCCTGGAGGCGTACGGCAACAAGGGCATCGATTTTGTAGTGGACGTGGGCCGCCGGGTTGTGGTGGAAAGCAGCGTGAGTCGTTTGCTGCACTAGTGTACGAGGAATGTCTGCAGCACGGTAGTGATTGGTAGCTTGCCGCCTGCATACTGCTGCAATGGATAGGAACTATGTCTTAAGCTTGTCCTGGATGCTGGATGTGCTAACGTGGAATGTTTCCCCGTGCAGGCTTCGGTGACTGCTTTTCCTGCTTTGCTGGTCATGCTTTACAATGACGCAACAGTATGAATCGACATTGTCTGCATGCTGCGCCGATTCTATGGAAACCCTGCCATTATTCGCCACCTTTTGGCTGTCCTACCACCTTTCCAATCCTCAGGTTGTGGACTTCACGGGCGGCGATCCAGTGGTGCTGCGTCACGGGCAAGGCGACGTCAGTGTGTTCGAATGAACGGCGCTTTCCGCATATTGTTGCGCTCGTGCGGATGCGGTGGACATGGAAAGGACGCCAGGGTTAGGCCGCGTCGGCAAAGGGGAAGAAGTCAGAGATCCATTTCTCTGTCACCGAGCTGGGGTGGGGTGGGGTTGCTGCTGGTGTACGCTTGTCTTGCAGCCCTCGGTGAGATGCTTGGCCCAAGCGGAAAGCGTTTTTGGCTGGAGGTACCTATAGATGGGCTGGGGCAAGATGGATGCGGGGGTCCAGGCTGTGGCAAAGGCTTGAGCCATGGTCATGCCTAATGTGTAGAGAGACATCGACAGATGCGCCCATGGCTGCGGCCCGAAACTGCAAAAGGGGCCGCAGGTTGCAGGGGAAGTTTTACCGTTTGGGGGTTGAGCTGTTGGCGTTGTGACCATAGGACCACATTAATCCGAAAGGAGGCGCTATTTTGGCGGAGCTGAGGAAAGCTAATTCAATAGTTCTTGCACAAGTAAATATCGGATTAATTCACATTATTTCAGACACGTTGCCTAATAAGACACGTTGCTTAATACTGATAATTGACCACGTAACGGCGCCTCCGGAGCAGGACAAAGCTAGAGAATGTGCAGGCTAGGAACCTGTCCCGAGTCCTATTTACATTAACAATATGTGATTGTGCTTATATGGCAAGTCGTGCTCGTGGCGGATCCACGCTTATTAGTTGCGTCTATAATGCTCTATTATGACTAATAATAGTCATGACCGCGATGTGTCGTTCGCTTTCACGCAAGCTAGCACCAGATTTTACGTCCTCCGCGCCCCCGCTTTTTTGCCGGCAACCCCTTGCGTTGCTGTCATGAGAGTTTTCCGCCAGTTTGGAGGTAGCGCCCAATGCTGTGAGGGCAAGTCCAGCAGAAGAGCCCGAACAGGCTGTGAGAGCTCCGGTGCCCGCTTTATGATCGCCGTGATAAGCCTGAGGGCCGAGGGAAGGTCAGAAACCTCAGCGCCTTGTATAACCAAAACACCAACCACCACCTTGAAGCAGCACCCGCTTCCCAAGGCCCGCACACGGCCTGTAACGCATCGATACGACACCTCGCTGCGGCATTGCCTGTGTAATATACTAAAGCGCACAGTAAGTGCGCACGTCCATAGCCAGTCAGTCAACTGCATGTTATGTTCAACGGCCGCCACGGAGCAAACTCGCCCTGTCATGCCGTCGCTCCGGCCATGGGACAATCGATACAGGGCGACGCAACGCGGGGCACTGACCTTGGAAGATGCATTGCCAAGCCATGGGTGCGAAGCAGAGCCACGCCGGCCAGCCCCACAAGCAGCCGGCCCAGGTCATCCGTGGGCGCCTGGTGTGGGTCCCCTGGCTCTACCCTAGAGAGGCACATCTCCAGGTTGTGCTGCAACATAATCGCCGTGGCGAAATGCTGGTGGCCTGACGTGGCGCTCTTGTAAAATGACAGGTATACTAAGGCAAGCTGCAGCGCACCGCCCTGCGGCAGCCCGCCCGTAGTACTGCCGGCACCACCGAGGCCACTGGCCTGCTGCACTACCAGGGCGGCGGTCGCGGTGGTCGTACCAGCAGCCTTGGCGGCGGCGCCGCCACTGACCGCCTCCAGCAGCGCGGTGACGCACGGCTCCGCGTCGACTAGCATTCGCAGCAGACGTGAGGAGCCGAGGCCCGCGCGGCCCACCGAGAAGACGCGGTCGGCGTCGTTGAGGCGGGCCAGAGCCACCAGCGCTTGCACCAAATCCCCCGGAGACAGCTGCGACCAGCGGGACTGCAGCGCCTTGCGCAGCTCATCCAGGCACTCTCGGTTGACTACCTGCCGAATGGCGCCAGGGAAAATAAATATCGCTGTACCTAGCACTAGCCCTATGCCAGGGCGGCTGTCCCCGGCTCAGGCTGGGTATCCTATCAGTGCACATGCATAGTCCATGGACACTTAACAGCTGGACGCTTACCCGATGAAATAGTCGTGCGGTACATCGTCCATGTAAGTCAATCGTAAGCCCTACTTGACTTACTACTCTGTCTTGTTCCGCACCTGTGCGTGCCCCAGATACAGCAGGAGCACCTTGCAGAAGGACACGTCATAGGTCGTCAGGTCGAGCATCCCGCGCTGTGACGCAGTCGCCACGTATGTGGCCACGGCCTGCGGCAGCTGCGTCGTGAAGTGCAGCCGCTGAGAGGCCTGGTGGAAGACCCGGACCACTTCCGGCAGCATCTTGACATCGAACCGGGGAGCTGCACTGCCCAGGCTACGTGCGCGCGTGGACCCCAGGGGCCGGAGCCCGTCGTCCGGCTGCTGTGGTACAAGCCTGGATACGGCCTCAGCTGCTGTCATTTCGGGTTTGGCGTGCATTGAGTGCTCGTCCTTCGCCGGCATGACCTGCAGCGCTCCAGTGTAGCCAGGGATACGGGCATCAGTGAGCCCCGCGAGGCGCGGCAAGCCCGCACCAAGACATTCGATGAGGACATGCCATGCAGTGCAGTGCCGGATCCGGCTCACCAGCTGCACTATATGCGCATGCTGCATGGTCCTTGCTGCATGCTTAAGTGACCCGCCCTTCGTATGCTGCAGGCAGATTGCCTTATCGTTACCGGGATAAGCACGGAGACTTGGTGAGGAAATCCGGAAGCATGCCGTACAAGAAACAGGGCCCGATCGACAAGAAACATCGACCCGCATCGATGCAGGCCGCTTTGCGGTAATGGTTAAAGTCGATAGATAGAGATAGAGACCCCGCCCACTGAGCTCACCTGTCTATCTGCAGACTTGATATCCTCTCGCACCCTGTCCGACATAAAAGGTGGGACCTTGGTCTTTAGAAGATAGTGGCGCAGATCATAAGGGGCGCAAACAAATCGAGCCCGAACCCGCTATCATGACATAAAGTTCCCACGGTGAAGTGCGTTGACCATTTCCATGGACGGCGACAATGGCCACATGGGCGAAAAAACCGGTCAACTGACGGACGTACCGCGCTAGCCACTTCCGAAGAGGATCCAAGCGGTCTGCGCTGTCCCTTGTGTGCCGCCTTGCTGCAATCGAGCCTGTACTCCATTTGTGAGGGGATAATTGCTGTCTCGGACCTCTTCGTTGGGCGGGCTCTTGTCGCGTCCATTCCGTAGCTGTACCCTTCAACCTCTCAAGTGCAGGCCTTTCGTCATGGCCAACATCCTCACGCATGCGCGTAATCCCCGGTTGACCTGCCTCCCTTCCTCCAGCCTGATTATGCCCCTTCCTGCTCGCGTTTGTAGAGTGCAGACGGCCGTAGCTCGGGGGTTGAGCAGTTATGAACTGTGCGTCACTACCGTGTGTACTTGGCGTGGCAAGCGAGTAGCTGCGACAAAATCCCTTATGTGCTAATAAACGAACAGAGGCGAAGGCATTGATCGCCCGAAGGGTCGGTGATGCTTGGCAAAATGGTTGGGCAAGTTGTGCACAGAACTTCTCCCAAATGAACGGAGAATGCCGGGCTACCATTTGAATAGCACCAACTTATTACGGGGATAGTGTGCGGCTAACATGCGTGGGACTTGACAGATATTCCGTTAGTACGGCAATTAATTACAACGTTAGCCCAGTTCCAGCCCTTTCTACATAGTTTCTAAATTGCATAGGAATGTTTAAGGAGAAATAGTATATCTTTACTAGCCAAATTAAGAAGCCTGGTTTACCCGCCGTCCTCTTCACGCTTTTCGGTTAGAAACTATTTAAGCCTAGAGCCTGTGTAGGAATTAACTTTCAATATGGAGGGTGGTGGCCCACCCCCACCGCCACCACCTCCAGGAGGTTTTAGGCCGCCAGGAAATATGTTCCCAGGCGGGCTTGCGCCGGGCGTAATGCGGCCGCCCATGGTGCTGCCACAGCAGACTCGCTATTTTAACCAGCCTGGTGGGATGCCTCAACAGCCTGGCTTGATAGCACAAGGTCAGGCTCCAGTCCCTCGGCCGCCTCCTGTACCGGTTCTTTCGGAAGAGCAGCAGCAAAAGCTTATCGACGAAAAGGTATTGCTGGAACAGCCCATAGGGAGTGCTGGCGGGAGTTATCATTGTCGATCTCGTGTCTTGTCTTTGGCCTGTGAGCACTTTATGCGGGCGTCCTACGAGGTATTCTTGATTTTAGAGAGCATGCAATGTCAACGACAGCGGGGACCTCTTGGGGTTCTGTCAAACACTGACTCGCGTGTTCTGCTACGTGTCGCAACGTTGTGGCCCAAGCACCTGCGCACCGAAGTGCGACATGTACAAGTTGCGCGCCATGGCGCTTACGCGGGCAATTTTAGGCTGGGTTTGGTTGGACCTGGGCGCGACTGCCTGGCGGCTTCCCCCTCCGCCGACCTAGCTCTGCGAGCAAGCCTCCTGCTGAATCCTTTCTTCTGAGACCCGTTGCGATAAATTAGCTGGTGCTGCTTTGGACCCCTGTCCTTAGGCAAAGAAGTGGCTGCAGCTGAACTCGAAGCGGTATGGCGACAAGCGCAAGTTCGGGTTTGTGGAGGCGCCAAAGGAGGATATGCCGCCGGAGCATGTGCGCAAGATCATAAGGGTAAGGAAACGAGGGTCGTAGTTCCTCTAGGGCTGATGTAAGGTAATCTGGGTTGTTAGGCCAATCCTTTTCAACTAAGGCACTTACTCCGGTGCCCTCTCTGTTGGTGTCTGATTTCCGCTCAGACCTGATACAACAAAGGGGTAATGTGAATTTAGAGGGTCTCATGGGTGTGATAACGTCTTCACTGAGAAGAAAATCAAAATGTTCATTTTATCACAGGATCACGGCGACATGTCGTCGCGGAAGTTCCGGCATGACAAGCGCGTGTATTTGGGCGCGCTGAAGTTCGTGCCGCATGCGGTTTTTAAGCTCCTGGAGAACATGCCCATGCCATGGGAGCAGGTGAGCTGGGTAAAGCTGGGTCGGTGTCGTGTGGACGCCCGTCATCCCCAGGGGACGCGCCTTTGCAGGATTTTATAAGTCCGCCGGCAGGGCTCCTCGCCGGTGGCCTGCAGAGGACCAACTGCAGCTGCAGCCGTTAGTGCGTTTTTTGTCGTGATTGCTGATGCTGAAGGCGTTGTGATGAGGGCCCTGGTCCGGCGTGTGGCCACGGCAAGGCACGGGCGCGATGTCGTGGGAATGAAAGGGGCTGGACAGGTGTGGATGGTGGGGCCAGCACAGGCAAGTAGGCCGGTCTTGGCTTCGCTGGAGAAGATTTTGTGGGACACATCCGAGCCGTACTTGCAGCAATACCGCAGCAACAGTGATGCTATGTACTTGCTAACAATGCCCGTTTCTGGTTCTTGTTTCGGTTGACATGACTGTCCTTGTAACGTCGCGTGCTGCGCACTGCTAGGGGTGTGCTTGAATGCCGTTGCGCAGGGTCTGTGGTTTACGGCCTTATTGCTGGTGTGTACCTAGCGTCATAGTAGTCGCAGTAGTAGTGATGGAGGGTTTGGGCCTGGTTTGCAGGTTCGGCACGTCAAGGTTATTTACCACATCACGGGCGCCATCACGTTCGTCAACGAGATCCCTTGGGTCATTGAGCCTGTGTACACAGCACAGTGGGGCACCATGTGGATCATGATGCGCCGTGAGAAACGTGATCGTCGCCACTTCAAACGAATGCGCTTCCCGCCTTTCGATGACGAGGAGCCGCCGCTAGACTACGCGGTGGGTGGTGGGTTTTTGTGGGATCCTCACGAGGAACTGGTGGGGCTTACGAGGACTAATGACTAGTCTTCCAATATGCCAATTACGCTATCCACTAAGCCCCAAGCTTATGGGTCGAGCAAAGTTGATTTTTGTCTCCGTGACTTATCGCTCCTATATTTCCTCCTTCCCGTAAGCTTAGGAAAATGAAATCGTGGTGGTTAAATTGTGTATGCTTTTGTACTGCGCCACGATTGGAAGCGATAAAGTCACTGTAATGGTATCTGCCCGACTGTCCTTCCCGTAGGACAACTTGCTGGATGTGGAGCCGCTGGAGGCCATTGAGATGGAGCTCGATGAGGACGAGGACGCGGCCGTGTACGAGTGGCTTTACGACCACCAGCCGCTCAAGTACACCAAGTTCGTTAATGGACCCAGCTACAAGAAGTGGAAGCTGCCCCTGCCGGTGATGGCGACCCTGTATCGACTGGCCGGCCAGCTGCTTACAGATTTCCCCGACCGCAACTACTTCTACCTTTTCGAGCCGCAGGTATGGCGGGATGTATCCTTGCAGCTTGGGGGCCGTCTGGGCCCATGCCAGGGAAGGATATATTCATCGCTTACGAAGAGATGTCATAGCGTTCCTTGGAGCATAAGGAACATAAGGAACCAACAAGGTACACAGGTCGAGGGCATTATTCTCGTCGGTCTTTAAAGGCGTCCGCTTCTGCTCCGACTGGAGGATTCTGTGAGAAGTGATGGCGCTGTACCTGACCGTGCACGCACTGCCGTACTCCATGGTGCTTTTACGTAGGCGTTCATCACGGCCAAGAGTCTCAACATGTGTATCCCGGGGGGCCCCAAGTTTGAGCCTCTGTTCCGGGACATGGACACCCGCGACGAAGACTGGAACGAGTTCAACGATATTAACAAGCTCATCATCCGGTCGCCAATCCGCACGGAGTATAAGGTGCGGTGTAGTGATATAGCACCCTGTCCGTCCGTGCAATAGTACCCTTGGTGCCATCATTGTCTCATTTTGCAGTTAACTCTTGTCTGTACTCGTGCGTCATGGCTTCACAGGTTGTGAAGAAAGGGGAAGAAAACGAAGGGAAGAAAACGAAGAAGGTTGTACATAAAGTAAACATATGCATACGTACAATTTGTGTGTCATGCGCCTTCAGGTAGCGTTTCCGTACCTGTACAACAACCGGCCTCGGAAGGTCCGGTTGAGCGTGTACCACCATCCCATGTCGATGTACATTAAGACGGAGGACCCGGACCTGCCGGCCTACTACTACGACCCGCTCATCCATCCCATTGCGGCGTACCGTTCTGCCACGGGTGGCCGCAGGGCACAGGTGGGTACCATCGCAGATAATTGACACTTGTTAGCGTCTTAGTTGTCCAGGTGTTAACCCGTGGTTTTCCAGCCCTTTACAGTGCTCATTCCTTTGCATATGCCCTTAAGCTGCATATGCCGAGGAATGAGCTGAGGATGCCTGGCGATTGGCCGGTACGGTGACTGGCTTCCCCAACAGATTGAGCAGGAGGTGGGCGGAGAAGACGACGAGTGGGCGCTACCGGACGGTGTGGAGCCGCTGCTGTGCGAGCAGCCGCTGTACACCGACAACACCGCGTCCGGCATTGCGCTGCTGTGGGCGCCCAAGCCTTTCAACCAGCGTTCCGGGCACACGCGCCGCGCATTTGACGTGCCGCTGGTTAACAACTGGTTCCAGGAGCACTGCCCTCCGTCATATCCCGTCAAGGTGGGCGCACCCAGAATGAGTGCGAGCCCTGTCCGCTTAGCAGTATTACTGGCATACGCGCCGGTACTGGTTTGTTTGGCATGGTCGGCAATTTTAGCTGTGTGCATGTACGTACGCCCGGGTTTATTTATTAACAAGAACTTATTTCACTGCTCAACATCCCCAGGTGCGCGTCAGCTATCAGAAGCTGCTAAAGAATTACGTTTTGAACATCCTACACCACCGGCCGCCCAAGAGTGTGAAGAAGAAGTACCTGCTGCGCGCGCTCAAGGCCACAAAATTCTTCCAGTCGACAGAGCTGGACTGGGTGGAGGTCGGCTTGCAGGTCCGTGGCATGGGGCGTCTAGGATTGTTATGCCGCGGGCAGATGGCTGGTTGGCTTTGGAACATAATGGTGCTTGTTTTTGCCTTATTGCATTATAAACGCTATTTTTGGCGTTTACTCGGGACTGTTATGTGGGGTTTGAGGCTGTAGCTCATGTCATGTGTGCTGCTGCTGTACAGGTGTGCCGGCAAGGTTACAACATGCTCAACCTGCTGATCCACCGCAAGAATCTGAACTACCTGCATCTGGATTACAACTTCAATCTGAAGCCCGTCAAAACGCTGACCACCAAGGAACGCAAGAAGAGTCGTTTCGGTAACGCTTTCCACCTGTGCCGTGAAATTCTCCGCCTGACGAAGTTGGTGGTGGACGCGAATGTGCAGTTCAGGTGCGCCGCGCACCGTTCGAACTCCCGTGCTCCTCCCCAACCCTTCATGGTATTCCGTGAATCTGAGGGGTTCTGACGAGCTTCAGCCTGTTAGGTAGACCGGGACAAGTGCCTAAGCGTCCCTATGCGGCTCCACATTCCTTCCTGACACGTTTACGGTTTTTATTACAGGCTGGGCAACGTGGACGCGTATCAGCTGGCGGACGGCCTGCAATACATTTTCTCGCATGTCGGCCAGCTGACGGGCATGTACCGCTACAAGTATCGGCTGATGCGACAAATCCGCGTCTGCAAGGACCTGAAGCACCTGATCTATTACCGCTTCAATACGGGACCGGTCGGCAAGGGCCCGGGCGTGGGCTTCTGGGCGCCCATGTGGCGCGTCTGGCTATTCTTCCTGCGTGGTATGTTCCGTTCTCATCTGCCTGTCTCCGTTTCTGATGTCATATTGTAGCGCAGAGCCTGTGTATGTGTTTGGCTTATGATACTGCGGCCTGTAAGGGGGCCCCCCTTTCCCTTCTGGGGTGAATTGCCGGTTATGATCCTGCTTGTCACAGGTATTGTGCCGCTCCTGGAGCGATGGCTCGGCAATTTGCTGGCGCGCCAGTTTGAGGGCCGCCAGTCCAAGGGCATCGCAAAGACGGTCACCAAACAGCGCATTGAGTCTCACTTTGACCTGGAGCTGCGCGCGGCGGTGAGCTTCTTGGATGTGTATACGTTGCTGCCTTGTTGCAATCTATGAACCTCAGAGCGTTGCTAAGGCGCCGAGGCCTTCGATGGCTGCTTATGGAGGATAAGGGGGTTCCGCAAGAGGTTCGGTTACGATGGCATTGTTTCGTGTCTTCCGGGAAGGCGCTGCATTACACAGAGCTTCATGCGATGTATTGCATGGTACCTTAATTAGGGGAAGTATTGAGCTGTATATCTCTCTGCGAGCCGCAGGTGATGCACGATATCCTGGACATGATGCCTGAGGGCGTAAAGCAGAACAAGGCCCGCACCATTCTACAGCACCTTTCGGAGGCGTGGCGCTGCTGGAAGGCCAACATCCCATGGAAGGTGCCCGGCCTGCCCGCACCTGTCGAGAACATGATCCTACGGTAGGTGGGTGACAAGAGTAACATGCGAGGACCTCTTCGATGAGGAGATTTACGACTCCGGAGGACATAAGGTCTTGGAGAGGTTGTCAGGGACATTTTGTTATTTAATCTTCCTTTAGTCCGTTTCAAAGGTGGCACGCGTTGCTTTTGTGAATTTTCTGTTAACTCAGGTACGTGAAGCAGAAGGCGGACTGGTGGACCAACGTGGCGCATTATAACCGTGAGCGCATTCGCCGCGGTGCCACGGTGGACAAGACGGTGTGCCGCAAGAATTTGGGCCGCCTGACGCGCCTTTACCTGAAAGCCGAGCAGGAGCGGCAACACAATTACCTGAAGGTACGTTGGCCTGGCCTTGGTCGTTAACAGTGCCTATGGTAAAGCATATCTAAGCATATCGAATTTCTTAGTTCCAGCTGCTTCGACCGCTAGTTGCGTAATGCTGTTTCCTTTTCCGTAAGTTTGGGAAGCGATACTAATTCTCTCTTTCCTCTGCAACAGGACGGGCCGTACGTGACGCCCGAGGAGGCCGTCGCCATTTACACCACTACCGTGCACTGGCTGGAAAGCCGCAAATATAGCTGCATTCCATTCCCACCGCTTAACTACAAGCATGACACCAAGCTGCTTATCCTGGCGCTTGAGCGGCTTAAGGAGCAGTATGTAGTGGCGGTGCGACTTAACAGCCAGCAACGTGAGGAGCTGGGCCTGGTGGAGCAGGCGTACGACAACCCGCACGAGGCGCTGCAGCGCATTAAGCGCCATCTATTGACGCAGCGCTCCTTCAAGGAGGTGGCGATCGAGTTCATGGACTTGTACAGCCACCTGATCCCTGTCTATGAGGTTGAACCACTGGAGAAGATTACAGGTGCGTGCTTTGTGTGAATGCTGTCAAGAGGGGGAATCGCTTTATATACATTGTTTGCGGTAACTGGCGCTTAGTCTGGAGGCATGATTTTGCGGCCAGTCAGGTACTTAAATGGCATGTCCCCTAAACAGGTTCCAATAGGGCAGTCCGAATCCCGGCTTGCGCCGAGGTACATATCTTGACCTTATATTTACCCTGCAAATTTTGCTCCATTGTCCGCTATTTGCAGACTGTTACCTAGATCAGTACCTCTGGTTCGAAGCCGACAACCGCCACCTGTTCCCCAACTGGGTGAAGCCTGCCGATACCGAGCCCCCGCCGCTGCTGGTGTACAAGTGGTGCCACGGCATCAACAACGTGACAAACGTGTGGGACACCACTAACGGGGAGTGCGTGGTGATGATGCAGAGCGAGTTCGAGAAGATGTACGACAAAATCGACCTCACGCTTATGAACAGGTGTGGTTACTACTTTGGTCCTTTCTAGGAAAAGGAGTTAGCCTTTCGCTGGAACTTATAATGGTCCAGCGAAAGGCTGGAACTTATAATGTGTCGCGGCGGGGTTGTCTGAGCGTTTTCATGGTCGCCCAGACGTCGTTTTGATGTCCAACTGGTGTGCCACATGTAGGCTGCTGCGTCTCATTGTGGACCACAACATCGCGGACTACATCACAGCCAAGAACAACGTGGTCATCGCGTACAAAGATATGAGCCACACGAATTCGTACGGCCTCATCCGCGGTCTGCAGTTCGCGTCGTTCATCATCCAGGTATGGCTCGATGTGTTTAAAGCTAGCTGCAGGCGAACCGTAGCGTCCTGGTGTGGAATATGCTCTCAAGAGCCCAAGGCCAAGGGCATTGGTTAATGAGCTTAAGTCTTTCGGGTCAATGGTATGGAGTGATAAGTCTGGGTCCGCCGGTCGTGACCTTGTGTGATTTTGTTCAAGCACCGGATTCACCATGGAGTTCAACATCTAATTGTTTCCTTTGCTTTTTGTGCACACACCTACGCCCGGACAGTATTACGGCCTGATCCTGGATTTGCTACTGCTGGGCCTGACGCGTGCCAGCGAGATCGCTGGGCCGCCACAATGCCCGAACGAGTTCCTGACGTTCCGTGACGTCAAGACCGAGACCCGCCATCCCATCCGCCTGTACAGCCGCTACCTGAACAGAGTCCATATATTGTTCCGGTGAGCATGGTTGGGCATGTTGGGAATGCCAGGTGGCGCCCGTGGGTATGTGAACTGGTGTGACAGGGTATGCCGCGCGCAACCTTCATAAGCATTATGTAGCGGTCCTTTATAGAGCGGCCACGACTTATGGATAGCGTGTTGCAATGTGGCTTCGAGGCTAGTGTTAAGACAGGTTTGGTGTCGTGCGGTGAAGTGTTGTGCTTTGGCTCCTTGTAGGTTCACCGCAGAGGAGGCCAAGGACCTGATCCAGCGCTACCTTACGGAGCACCCTGACCCCAACAACGAGAACATTGTCGGCTACAACAACAAAAAGTGCTGGCCCCGTGATGCACGCATGCGCCTCATGAAGCACGACGTGAACCTAGGCCGCGCTGTTTTCTGGGACATGAAGAACCGCCTGCCACGCTCGCTGACCACGTTCGAGTGGGACAATAGCTTCGTGTCGGTGTACAGCCGCGATAACCCCAACCTGCTCTTCTCCATGGCGGGTTTCGAGGTCCGCATTCTGCCCAAAATCCGCATGGCGGCCGAGTCGTTCGCCAACAAGGACGGCGTGTGGGCACTGCAAAACGTGCACACCAAGGAGCGCACGGCGCAGGTAAGGGAGGTGTTAGCGGGTCGGGATTCGCCGTCCCCCGGTTAGCTGATTTGCCAAGCACGGATCGGATTTGGAACACCAGAGGAGCAAGGTTTGGTGGTATGATGCCCCGTCTGCGTGTGTCCGTACGCGTTCCCGGTTGAAAGTGCAGTCTGTGACACCGGTGATAGTGCAAACGTTGCGATCAGCTTCTGTTGAAGAGAAAATGTGCAGAAAAACGAAATGCGACTGTTGGCCGGGTTATTTTTTCTTCCCGCAGGCGTTCCTCCGCGTGGACGATGAGGGGCTAAAAGCCTTTGAGAACCGCGTGCGGCAGGTGCTCATGTCCTCGGGAAGCACCACATTCACCAAAATCGCGAACAAGTGGTAGGTGGTGTTGGGTGTAAGCGCGTGGCACTGGCAGTCCAAGAATACCTCACGTCCTCTCGATGTTGGTGGTCGCCCTCTCAGGAACACGGCGCTTATTGGGCTGATGACCTACTACCGTGAGGCCGTGCTGCACACGCAAGAGCTGTTGGATTTGTTGGTCAAGTGCGAGAACAAGATTCAGACGCGCATCAAGATTGGCCTTAACTCGAAAATGCCCAGCCGTTTCCCGCCGGTGGTGTTTTACAGCCCCAAGGAGGTCGGCGGCCTGGGCATGCTCTCTATGGGCCACATCCTCATCCCGCAGGTAGGTCGGCCCTAGACGCGCTATGTTGCACTGCGTGGCCTCGTGTCATGGCTAGGCCCTAAGGGCATGTGAAGTATTCATGGCAGTTGTGCGGTTTGTGGCAGCCTCGTTTCGGCCTTGAGCTGTGCCGCACTCCCAGGGGTGCAAATCGACTTGCCGTTGTCGAACCCTTCTCTCGTTGCTTCCCCGACTTCCCTGCCCCATAGTCCGACCTGCGCTACAGCCAGCAGACAGATTTGGGCGTAACACACTTCAGGGCGGGTATGTCACACGAGGAGGATCAGCTCATCCCCAATCTCTACCGCTACATCCAGCCCTGGGAGAGTGAGTTCATGGACAGCGAGCGCGTGTGGTCGGAGTACGCGCTGAAGAAGGAAGAGGCTAAGGCGCAGAATCGCCGCCTGACGCTGGACGACTTGGACGATAGCTGGGACCGTGGTATCCCGCGCATTAACACGCTATTCCAGAAGGTGCGGACCTAGCTAAGCGGGATTTTCGAGATCCTGGAGATTGGGATGTGTTTTCCTTAACCCTTAGATACATTAAAATGCGGTACGAGTGTACCGGGTTTCGTGTTGGTTGGTTCAGCTTTGGCCTTTTAGGTATTCGCCTGCAAGCGTCTTCTTCCGCTGGCTGGCTGCCTTCGCAGGATCGCCACACGCTGGCGTACGATCGCGGGTGGCGGGTGCGGCAAGAGATGAAGCAGTTCCAGATTACGAAGATGAACCCGTTCTGGTGGACGCACCAGAAACACGACGGCAAGCTGTGGAACCTGAACAACTACCGCACTGATGTCATCCAGGCGCTGGGCGGTGTAGAGGGTATCCTAGAGCACACGCTGTTCAAGGGGACGTACTTCCCGACGTGGGAGGGTCTGTTCTGGGAGAAGGTAAGGATGGTGACAAAGCCGGATGTGTTGCCGCTGATCCGTTACATGTCTTGTGGAGGTTTGGTAGGACGGCTTAAAACTCCCTCTGTAGTTTACATTTGCGGGAAGACAGAACCGCAGCGCGTGTTCTGAACGGTTGTATTGTCAGCTGTTGGACATTCTTGACCATGGGCCCTCGTTGTGCCATGTGACCTGCAGGCGTCGGGCTTCGAGGAGTCTATGAAGTACAAGAAGCTAACAAATGCCCAGCGCTCCGGTCTAAACCAGATTCCTAACCGCCGCTTCACGCTGTGGTGGTCGCCAACCATCAACCGGGCCAACGTGTACGTGGGCTTCCAGGTGCAGCTTGACCTGACGGGCATCTTCATGCACGGCAAGATCCCGACGCTGAAGATCTCGTTGATTCAGATTTTCCGGGCGCACTTGTGGCAGAAGATCCACGAGAGCGTGGTACGTCAAAGACAACGGTCTTTTTGAGTGATCAAGTACCAGTTATAACTTGCTTGTTAGCGTGGGCCATTGGTTGGCTTAGTCTGCCATCCTACAATGTTGACTGTTAGGAAGTAGATAATGCTGTTCGCAGGACATGGGGGGCTGACGTGCAAATTGTTTAGGCCGCCCGTTTACCTGGGTGCTGATTGCCATGCAGGTGATGGACCTGTGCCAGGTGTTCGACCAGGAGCTGGACGCGCTGGAAATCGAGACCGTGCAGAAGGAGACGATCCATCCGCGTAAGAGCTACAAAATGAACTCGTCATGCGCCGACATCCTGCTGTTTGCGGCTTACAAATGGAACATGAGCAAGCCGTCGTTAATGGCGGATACGAATGACGTGTAAGTTGGGTGCCGTCAGGAGTATCCACGCGTTACCTGATGTGGGGACGTTGGGTTTTTTTACTTAGACATTGACCGTCAAGCGGGTCGGAAATGCTCTCCTGGTGGTCGCATAGCCAACAACATGGCATCTGCTCTTGCCTGTCAAATATGCAGGTACGACCAGAAGCCGTCGAACAAGTACTGGGTGGACGTGCAGCTGCGCTGGGGCGACTACGACTCACACGACATTGAGCGCTACACGCGCGCTAAGTTCTTGGACTACACTACCGACAATATGTCCATCTACCCATCGCCGACGGGTGAGCATGGGTATGGGGTCTTGGGATGCTGTATTGGTCCGTCTTAAGGACAGATGCTGTGGTGGAGATGTTCGGTCCAGATATCAGTTATCGCGCTTGTGAGTCCGACCAGGGTTCGCCTGAAGTGCGTTGGCCAGTCGGGGTACCAAGGTTGCTTACTACCAACATATGCAGGTGTCATGATCGGGATTGACCTGGCGTACAACCTGCACAGCGCGTACGGCAACTGGTTCCCCGGCATCAAGCCGTTGGTGGTCCAAGCGATGGCCAAGATTATGAAGTCGAACCCCGCGCTTTATGTCCTGCGCGAGCGCATCCGGAAGGGTCTTCAGCTGTACAGCTCGGAGCCTACGGAGCCCTACCTTAGCAGCCAGGCAAGTAAACGCTTCTCATAATGACAGTCTGGTAAAACGTCTCAGTATGTTATGCACGCCTTACGGCGGAGTGGACCTTGCATGGTTTGGAACTCTTAACGGATTGAAGCTGTTGCTCCTTCGGCTTTTTGCACGTAGCTATGGAACGGTTGAGGCACGCGTCGCAAGTACTTACCTTCTCCTCTACCCGCATTAATTCCCCGCCTGCAGAACTACGGTGAGCTGTTCTCCAACCAGACGGTCTGGTTCGTGGACGACACAAACGTTTACCGCGTTACCATTCACAAGACTTTCGAGGGCAACTTGACTACGAAGCCCATTAACGGCGCCATCTTTATCTTCAACCCCCGCACGGGCCAGCTCTTCCTGAAAATCATCCACACATCCGTGTGGGCGGGCCAGAAGCGCTTATCGCAGCTGGCCAAGTGGAAGACGGCGGAGGAGGTGGCGGCGCTAGTGCGGTCGCTGCCGGTTGAGGAGCAGCCGAAGCGCATTATCGTGACGCGCAAGGGCATGCTGGATCCCCTGGAGGTGCACCTGCTGGACTTCCCTAATATCGTTATCACCGGCTCGGAGCTTCAGCTGCCGTTCCAGGTGCGAAACGTAATTCGATAGCATGAACGCGCCATGGTGAAAACCCTCCCAAAGGAAGAACCATATGCTCAAACCTCGCGTGAAACGTGTTCCACTTTGGTCGGCTCCCTTGTCCCTGTAGGCTGCCATCAAGCTGGAGAAGTTTGGCGATCTAATCTTAAAAGCCACGGAGCCGCAGATGGTATTGTTCAACATCTACGATGACTGGCTCAAGACCATTTCCTCCTACACGGCCTTCTCTCGCCTCATCCTCATCCTGCGCGCTTTGCACGTAAACCCTGAGAAGGCGCGCGTCATCCTGCGGCCCGACAAGTCAATTGTGACGCAGCCGCATCATGTGTGGCCAAGCCTTACGGACGAGCAATGGATCAAGGTGGAGGTGGCGCTCAAGGACCTCATTCTGGCGGACTACGGGAAGAAGAACAACGTCAACACGCAGGCGTTGACACAGTCAGAGATCCGTGACATCATCCTGGGTGCGGAGATCACGCCGCCGTCCCAGCAACGGCAGCAGATTGCGGAGATCGAGAAGCAGGCGCGCGAGGGTGGGCACATGACGGCCGTCACCACCAAAACGACTAACGTCCACGGCGATGACCTGATCGTGACCACCACGTCGCCGTACGAACAGGTACGAAGGAGAGGTCGAGATGAAGGCGGCATTGCTAGCGCTAAGCAGGCCGGTAAATCAGCTCTAGACTCCACGAATCTGTGTAGTACCTCTTTGGGGGACTCTCTGCAGGTCACTTTCCTCAATCCTGCACTGATCGTGTAGCGCTGTTCGCTATCTGTGTAGGCTGCCTTCGGCTCCAAGACGGAGTGGCGCGTCCGCGCCATCTCCGCGGCCAACCTGCACCTGCGCGTCAACCACATTTACGTCAATAGCGATGACATCCGCGAGACAGGGTACACGTACGTGCTGCCCAAAAATCTGCTCAAGAAGTTCATCTGCATCGCCGACTTGCGCACGCAAATTGCGGGCTACATGTACGGCGTGTCCCCGCCAGACAACAGCCAGGTCAGTCAGGGTAGTCAACGGGGGGTAAGTCAGCGCGGGGGTAGTCAACGCGGAGCTCATGGCAATGCATGGAAAGTGAGGCTCAGAGGTGGCCCATGGAGTCCTCCACTTCTTGATGTGCTTTGCTATGTTTGCCTGTGAGTAGGCAACAAAAGCGGTTATTTATGTAATTATCTCGCGTTATCCTTTCGGGGATACTGCTAAATTTGTTGATCAATACTGTCCGATCTGAACTGTCGACTCACATATATTGTATATTACCTGCAGGTGAAGGAGGTGCGGTGCATCGTGGTGGCGCCGCAGTGGGGCAACCACCAGATAGTCAACCTGCCCGCGAACCTGCCGGAGCACGACTACCTGAAGGATTTGGAGCCGCTAGGCTGGATTCACACGCAGCCCAACGAGCTACCACAAATGGCGCCGCAGGTGCGCAGACGGCAAAGGAGGGAAATCGGAAATAAGCCGGGCACAATCCACAGGGTGTACGCAAAATCATTGGTGTTTATGGTGTAGAGGCTGGTTTGGGGCTGAGCTCGTACTTTTATGTAATCTCAGCCCCTATCCTGAATATCTTCCGTGCAGGACGTGATTGCGCACGCCAAGATGTTGGAGGCGCATCGCAGCTGGGACGGCGAGCGCTGCGTGTTGGTGACGGTGTCGTTTACGCCCGGCTCATGCTCGCTGACGGCATACAAGCTGACGCCAGGCGGCTACGAGTGGGGCCGCAGCAGCAAGGATATCTCGGCGAACCCCCAGGTACGATGCAGCTTCATGAGGTTATGCCGATGGCGGCCATAAGTCATTCAGCAAGGGCAGGACGGCCTCTCTGGTGCTAAGTGCGGCAGAGTGGAAAGGATACAGCGAAGTATATGCCGGTCCTGCCGACGCCATGGATGTAGTTACTAGCTATGTGTGTGAAATGCTGCGCAGGGTTACAAACCGGACTTTTATGAAAAAGTCCAGCTGCTGTTGTCAGATCGGTTCATGGGTTTCTACATGGTGCCTGACACGGGCTCTTGGAACTACAACTTCATGGGCGTCAAGCACAGCCCGTCCATGAAGTACGGCTTGAAGCTGGCGAACCCCAAGGAGTTCTACCACGAGATCCACAGGTACGAGTGCGCAAAGCTGTAGGCAAGGAAGGAAGCATGGCCGATTTTTACTTCGTGGGGGTGGCGATGTGCACTTCTGCAGGGACGCTGCTCGTTCGTTTGGGGGGTGCAGTTCTGCCGCATGGAATGGACCGTACCTTGTACAAGTATAGACGTCTGGTTATCGTTGTCCGCAGGCCGACGCACTTCCTGGAGTTTTCGACGCTGGAGGACGCGGACCCTGGCGTGGACGTTGAGAACCATTTCGCGTAGTCGCCGAGTGAGAGGGGTCCCGCAGGTATTCTGCTGATGGACAGAGCAGTTGGTTATTGATTTGAAGTTTGCGGCACCATTCATGTTCAGTCTACTGATAACTGATGTTCTGTCGATGCTTTCAGGCTATGTGACCTCTTAGTAGTTGTTAGACATGATGTTAGATAGTTGTGATGTGGAACGCTGCTACACTTGGGGTTTGACAATGCGTCGCGTGTGGCCGCAAGCTGGTGTATATAATTTTTTTCAGCCGGCAGGGCGATGCAAGTGACAAAATAGGTGTATGGGTAGAGTATATTACCGGTATGACCAAATGTAACCCATTTTTTCGTCTCAACAGTGTCAACAGTGTCAAGACATTGTTACATTAGATTTAACCCAGATGTAGATTTTTCCATTTAAGAATTAGTGACGCACCTGGCTGCCAAACCCAAAATATGCTGGCACCCTGCACTACGACACACTACACAAGCCACAGGGCCTAATTTCATGCCGCATGCGCACCGAATCCAGAATACGCGGTACGAATGTCATAATTTACATGACAAATTTGTGGGCAAGGGTTCAGGTTATGTTCTTGCAGACTGCAAATGGCTTCGTCCTCGCCCAAATATATGCTGTTGCTCATAACCTGCTCAACGCAGCATAAACCCCAATCGCGCTCAGCCTCAAATGCACGTTGTCCGATCATACGGAAATCAAAGGCTTGCGCGTCCTGCAAGTCTCTTGGATGCTCAATTTCTCATCCTGCACAGCTGGGACGATGCTCACTTTTCTCATGCTGCACAGCAGACGGTCGCACTCACTTTTCTCACGCTATGCCTGCCCAACGAATACATAATCAGTGGCCCCATATGCCTATCGGCAAGGGCACAGTATGCGTCCGAGCCTAATTCATTCGGACATGTAGCCAGTCCCGCGTCCGGGCGCAGCAGGTCCCATGCAAGCATGAATGCGTGTGCGGGAGAACCCGCAAGACAAGAAAAAGGCCAGTTGCATCGAGGCCACTAATTTCAGCGCATCTGAGTCCCAAAGTCGAATTCCCTTTAACCCACGCCTCCAGCATCGAGCATCCACCTGTGTAGCCTGTGTAGACAGAGTGACAACGCGGATGACAAACATAACCCGTCGGTGCAAACGCGCATGGCCTACATGCGTAGCCCATCACGACCTGCAAGCCACGACACCTGCTATTGCTCCTTGCTGCTGCGCTGGTTAAAGGGATCCATGGCGGGCGCCGCTGCCGTCACCGCAGTTCCTGCGGCTTGACGAGCTCCATCGCCTAACCATCCAGGCGCCTGCGGGCCCCGTAGGCCTGGCTCCAGCTCCGCCTGTCTGTCCACCGTAACTGCAACGTGGGCTGATGAGACACGCTGCTGGTCACCTTTGCCGACTGCGGTGTGGTCCAAGGACGTAGCTTCACCGTCCTTAAATAGGTGAGGCACCATTGGGAGCTGAGCCGCTAACGTGCGGCTGCAGCTCTGCCGGTTGTGGTGTGGCTTGCCGAAGGGACGGCAATACGTGCTGCCCGGCCGCGTCGATAGCCCTGCGTTAGGAGGCCCAGGGTTTTCTTAACGCAGGCAGACAGGGACTATAGCCGGCCTGGCCTGGTTCTTAGTAAATTAGGCTGCTGTACGTTTTGTGCTTTCCTGCTGATCCAAATGCCAAGCAAAGTGACCCAGGCAGTTGAGCACTCCCACTTTCGCACTTGTATTGAGGATTCACCACGCTGCGTCCGTATCCCTTGCCACTCGCACATTTAATGCCGACCAGGCAGACCGGGCCACTCTCCTCTTACGCACATTCAAAAGAATAATTCACATGCAACACGAACTTGACTGTGTCCCCTCTCGGCTGCGTCCACTCTCAGCTCCCATCCAACCTTCATCGCACCTGGGACTAGTCCCGTTAGGCCTTAGGCGCATCTCGCGGGCCGCCTCTGACGACGCGCGGCCGCTTGGCGAAAAGCCATTGGCCCTGCTCAGTGCCAGCAATGCCTCGCCCACTACCTGGCTGCCGAGCCGCTGCACTGCAGGCGGTGGAGCTGCCACCTCCTCCTGAGCCGACGGCCGCTCCCCACCTTTTTTTTTGCTTCGTAGAAACTTCCCAAGGCTGCCCAGGATGCTGCGCTTCTCAGTCTTGGTCGTACTGTCACCCAATATATGGGAGGACCTGAGGACAGGTAGCAGTGCAGCAGTACTCACCACACACTCCGCAGTAGTGCCAGGTTCGAACCTAAACGGTCGGGACTTAGACACACGGCTGTCCGCGTTTGCTGTCCGCCATGGAGGAAGTCGGGAAGCGCAAAATCCAGCTGGACAGGACCCTCATTTCCCAACAGCCCGACATCTAGTACAGCGATACAAAAAGGGCTAGATCCGGGTACATATTCCCAATAGCCCTGGCAGCCCCGGCATCCTTTACAAACTGTCACAACACCTCACAATGCTAAAACGCCCTCCAGACTCACAGCTCCGATAGCCACTGTCTCTGATAGCGGCCATATTTGGACTTCTTCGCTTTCTCCTCCTTTTCCTTTGCGTACTTGATGAGGTCCTGTGGGCAGTGGCTACCCAACGGCTGGATCAGCGCGTACAAGGGCAGGATGGACAGGCTAACCTGCGGCATCAGCACCATGTCCAGACATAGCTGCAGGATGATGGCCCATTTGGGGACACCCTCCCAGGTGCCCACGGTATCTTGCATCTGCACAGTGGGGCACCGTCGCCGGCAGGGCCGCGGGGGATTAGCGGACGTGTGTCAGCTTCAGATGGTAGGCAATGGAAGGAAACTCGCCTGGGGACGCTTCTGGATATTCGTGTGATGTGCAGCAGAGATGAAGAGAGAAGGAAACGACTAATCGGCCGCGGTAGGAACATTTCATGTGGATGGTGTGTGCTGGGGTCCAAGCAAACGCCTGGCACCCGTTTTGTAGCTTTACTGGTGCGTACGCTGCAAACCCTTCGGTTCTGATGCCAGTCCATGCATTTAACGAATCCCAGATGGATATCAACTGGAGGGATTAATCCCACATCATCGCGCAAGGTGGCAACATCAGCAGCGGCAGAATATCGCAGCCACCCGCCTAGCATCCCCAAAGCAAAAGCATTCCCGCAAATCAAGCAACAGACGCATTTGTCGCAATGCCGCACGTTCAATCCAGCGCGCATGGTGGTACTCCCGGGAACGCCAGTCAGTATGTAACCCGCGCCACGGCATGCATTCTTGCCTGTAGCCTCAATTAATGACAAGGCGCGGGTCCTTCTCGATTCCCGGCCTCCCTTTCCAAGCGCTCACTCACCCCCGCCAAGGAGAAGATGCAGATGGCGATGGACAATGAATTCTGAAAGTAGGCCAGCGTGAAGAGCATCGTCATGAAGCGGGGGCGCTTGAACCAGAAGAAGTCCTTCGCGTCCAGCTGGTGTACCCCTCGGTCCTTGCGCTGCTGTAGCATGTCCCGCACATACTGCCGCCGTACGTGTATGCATGCGTTACATCGCATGAAACCACATTTGATTTGTATGAACGCACGAGGCAACACATGAGGGCATATGTGGGCACGGCGCTATGGAGATCTGGGGCACGGTGTCCGGCCCTATACTCTGTAATTCTTTTATTCGCAAATTTTCCATTTTTCCTTATAATGCCAAATTTGCCGATTGCAAGAGGTTGAAGCAACTGCTGGCGCTGGGCCCGGTGCCGCGGGCCTAGCTGTGCAGTAGCGGCAACTGCCTCAAACCACCCGGACTGATTGCAGTGCCCCAGATTAAGATAGGTCGCGACGGTGATGGTGAAAAAGGCTGGCATTCAACCGGTGGAACCTATTGTCCCCAGCAAATCATACGACCCGCTCACCTGGGACCTGCCCTTTACGTGCGTGCCGCAATAAAAGGGCCGCATCAGCATCGGAACTTTCCAACGTCCTGAAGCTGTTCGTTTGAACCTGAGCACGCGAGGCCCTCGCCGAACGGAAATACTGCCCTGGTCGCTGCTGCCGCCGCAGACCCGGCTTCTGATGCTCCCCGCAGACGGTAACATCACGCCCCGAGCGGACGATGGTACCCTCGTCACAGCGTCCGAAGCCTTGCCACTTGGCGGCTGTTGCTGTTGATGGTATTGCTGACGGCCAACGGCCCCGCTCTCCGCGAAATCCAGCAAAGTATCCGCCGCCGTAATGCCGTTGGTCATCTCCGTGGGTGCACCCCCGAAGCCTCGCGAGGAAGCCGATCCAGATGCAGCCGATGCCCCGGGGTTCCTTGCCACAAAAGCCTTCCCATCAGCTTGCACCGCCGCCATAGACCCAGCCAGCGACCGCGGGGCATGGTGGTCCTCCGGCAGCGGCAGCGGTGGCAGCAGCAGCTGCTGTTGCCTGGGAGGTGACGTGCCGGGGTCCTCGGGGGGTCCCAGGATAAAGTTGAGGGCACGGCGCAAGGACAGCGCCCGTACTTGATGTTCGGGGTGCCGCTGGAAGAGCTCAAAGGCTGACCTGCGCTTGTCCGGAAAGGTGCCTGCGGGCTGCGCCTCAGCAAATCTAGGAGATCCACCTCCTTCGCCCTGCGGCTGGAGGTTCTGTGGCGACGGCGGCAACGGCGGCAGTGGCAGGGTGGTGGAGGGCATTCCCTCCAGGCCTGCCTGATCCCGACTGCGGTGGCGGTTATGACGATTGTGGCTGTGGTGATGCTGAGGGTGAATGAAATGATAGTGATGGCGATGGTGATGGTGCCGGGCGTGGCTTCCAGCGGCAACGCTCATGTTGCGCGTGATGCCGGTTGGCAGCGGGGCTCCCGCTGCCGCCGGCGCCCCGTGGCCCGCGCCACCGGCAGCGTTAAAGCTGCCCACAGCGGCACCATCTGAGAAGTCAAACCGTTGCGGATGTCGGCCCCGAAGATCCGGCGGGGCGCTCCGGCGAACCAACCTCATGCTGCCAGAAGGCTGTGTCGCCACGGCTGCTGCTGCCCCTGCCGCCGCTGCTGTCGTGGGTGTCTGCGGCGCCACTGCCGGGGGGTGCGGTGGCGGCGGCGGCCCCGCTGGTACGTGCGGCGATGCAGCCACTTGGCCCCCAGCCTCCTCGTGCTGCTGCCCTTTCGTCGGTGAGACAGCACCAGCACCTACATCATTACCACTACCATGACCACCCCCAGTAGAATCAGCACCGGCGGCAGCATCAGCCGCAACACCAGAAGAGGCTTGCGGCGCCATGGACCGGATCATCTGCAGGACGTGTTGGCGCGACGGCATCCGAAAAACGTTTGCCAGGACTCCCAGGTTGTTGGTGTTCTGGATCCACTCGGGGTCATCCTCGCCGTGATGGTGCTCCAAGGCCTTGCTCGTCTGGTCCATGCCGCGCTGCAGGAAGGATCGCTTTGCGGTGCCTAGGGCGTGCATGGAGGAGCGGCCAAGCGTCTCGATGCGGCCGCGGGCACGTGGATTCTCATCCATGCGCCCGAACACGACACTGTCGCCGTATTTAATAGCCACCTAACGCCATACAGCATGGCCGAGCGAAGGGAAGGGAAGAGGGTGCTTATTGTATACAGCATTCGAGAACAACGCAACTTGACCCACGCCCGATTCCGCACATAGCCACACCGGCCTATCTACTGTGCCGTAACGTGTGTGTCCCTCCTTCCAGTTGCGGCTCATATACACGACACGCCTCTTCTGCCCAACCCGACGCGCGCCCAATCAGGGTTGAACCTGGGACGTCTCCGGAACCGTGTCATTATGTGTTCAGCAACTACCGAATGGCCCCACCTCACCCACCTGCACTGAGATTTGCACCAGGACGTCCACCAGCTTTCCGCCAACCAGCATGATCATTAGTACGCCTAAGCCGTACATCCAGAACGACACGTACGCCGGTGGCGGAATGGCGTACCACACCACGGCAATCATCCAAAGGTGCCACTCGGGGCGAAGCTGCAGTGGCAGCACGAGCAGTGGCGTCAATGTGTGTTGGATGGACAAGAAGCACACGCAATCTCGTGACACGATGAGGGCTAACAGGAGCGGGCGCAGAAATTCAGCTAGTCCTACAGGGTGCTAAGCAAGGCTACGCTGCGCTTTGCTGTCCGCGGGACGAAAGGATCCCGGACCGTGATCCCCCACCCCTACCCTGCCGGAACCATGGCCCTGGAACCCTGTCATCCCCCGTGCCTAGGCCACCCTGCCTCAGTCTGCAGCTCTCCACTGCTCTCACCGTAAGCATCAGCTCATCCTCCAGGCCCCTGACCACCACGTCTGTCACCACACCATATTACAGCATGGGCGATACCACGGCATGCAACAAATTGGGTGTTGGCAGTGGCAGTGCAGTCGGGAGAGGCCGCAACGGCAGTTGCCAGGGAACGACCAGCACCCAGAGCGGCAGCGACGGCATAGAGAGGTCAGGAAGGAGGGAAAGGAATTAGGAGTGTTGGATGAGGTGGATAGAAAGTTCTCAAGTAGGAGGTATCGTAAGAGGCCAGCATCCCACTAGAAGTGACTGGAACAGGGTGGCAGCCAACGAACAGCCAACGGAAGATCTTCGGGTGCCCTGCCCGACCGGCACCAACCAGCCGGCGTGTGGAAACACACAAGCCCTCCGGCGCCCCGGGGTCGTACCATGGAAGTTGTACTTGTAATCCAGACCCGCCTTTTCGATGAAGAGCACACGGGCGTTGTTGTAGAGGCTCTGGTTTACGGACATCTGGTACTGCCGGAGGAGCATGAGGAAGAAGTGGATGACGGAATTGCTGCCTACGTTGCGATACAACCACCTGGAAATGGAGACGTATACAAAGCAAAGACGAGCAGACATGCATACGTGTTTGTACGGACAGGCTGACAGGCGAGCATGAGGAGGATCACAGTGCACAAGCCCAACATACACACGGCCCAGTTGGCTGGGCGACGCCCACACCACATAAGGCAAACGCTATGACTGTCCATCCGGGCCCCTCCGGGCCCCGTTGCGGCCCCTGGTGCTGGTTCTGGTGCCGGGTGAGGGGTTACCTATTGAGGATGCCAAGGGTTAGGACAGGACGAAACCGCGCTGGCGCTTCCCGACCCCTCACACACGGCGTCGGCCCTAACCGCCGAGCCCCTTGAAGCCCCCAACATCCCCACAGCGTGCTTCTCCACCCCTAACATTTCGTTTTACGCAGGAGATTTTTCTCCTCAGCTTTGCAGGCCCTACTTTGCGGGCATCTTCATGACTTTGATGTCCATGCTGTTGGCCTGCTGTTGAGCGGCCACCTCCCATTTGCGCCAGCTCCGCACCTGGGGTGTGCAGCCACCACCCGCAACAGGATACTAAGGGGAGTGCTGTTAGGACTTCAGGGAGCCCCGCTTGGAGGGGCACTGGTAGCAATGGAATTCGTTAAGCAAATGAAAATCTTCGTAAGAACGGCGGGCTAGCAATATACTTTGATTTCCATACTGGTTCTTGCGGTATGGCAGCCGACTTCTACTGAAGGCGTGATGCCGCCGAGGACCAGGCCGTGGTGACCACGGCGTGGTCCCACCATCCTCGCTGTCGCCCTGCCTAGTCCTGCTCCTTATGGATTTGAACTGAGAGGGTCCTTGAGCGACTGCGGCTGCTGCTGATCTCAGACTGACGTCAGCATATGTGTGGGTTGGCCGTTCCTACTGGGCTGGGGATCCCGTACACGCGTTCCCGGGCTCCCTTAATGCCTGTCAGTTTCTCCTTAACTATCCTGCCGTTGCTTGTAGTCCAGTTGCATCATCCAGATCCTTGGACCATACATCACCCGGCCTAACCGGTCCCTTATGAAGTCCGCATGGGCTCCCCGAGGCGCATCACACAGCACCAAGGTGCTGTCGTTCTGGACTTCACCTCCGGGGATGTGGTCCCCCCATAGCCCTATTTCCCCGCGCTCCTCACAATGTAATCCCGTGCCCAGGCGGTTGGTGTGGTGTAATGTATGGGGCCTAGACGGAAGCACGAAACCCAATAGCAAGGGGACCCGAATTCGGAAATACAATAAATTTTTGCGCCAAATTATCAAACCAACAGCAGCTTGGCAAGCCAGCTGTTGTCAGGCTCCACTCGCTGCCTCTGCACTCACCCGCCAGATGGTCAGGTAGACGGTGAGGGTGCCGTACACCACGTGAGTGCATGCCACCACAAAGATGAAGATCTGCAAGGAGAAAGGCACACCACTGAACGGAACCTAGGAGGGGGGAAAGTGCGTATGCAACTCGAATAAATATGGTACTTTGGTAAACAGGATGGAGTGAAGGAAAGGGGACGGAGGAGAGGTCACAGACAGAAAGAAAGGTTAAGGGACAGGGAAGGGGCCGCGGCTCGGGTCCCAGCAAGCCGCACACCAGCCGATGCAGCCCAGGTCGCCAAGTGGGTTAAGTCTGGTAGCTTTCGCCTATGCTGAACATTACAAAACATTAGCATGGCGGACAAAGATTTAGGTTCCATGGAGTCCCGAACCTTTCCACCAAAACCGGATCGCCATCTGTGCTCACGTGTGTGTCGTGCTGCAGCGAGACAGGCCACAGGCTTTGCTTGTACGGCTGGCAATATGTCTCGGCCCCACCGGCAAGTAAACGGCGCCGCCGGTCAGTGTAAACTGATACTTTCGATAAAGGGATGCATATCTGAGCAAGGAGGTTCTGCGTTATGGCATGTAAGAAGGGCGGGGAACTTGTATGCAACAGGAAATAAATCAAGTGGCCGACATTTAAAGCACCCACTTAAAAGGGGAGGGGAAGTCCGCTCTGTAAAGCAGGCTCGCCATCCCGAACATGCTATGGTAGGTGGCCCAAGGTATGATCACCAAAGACGACGCAAGTTTGATGCATCCGCGTACTTGGAATGCGCTTAAGAGGAGGGAGATAGAGCCCACGCACAGAAGTTCATTCTTTATGTGCTCTAGCCCGATGGCAAGGCCTCTCTGTTTCTTGAAGATGTGCTCCAAGCCATGAGCTGCTTTCTCCAGAATGACTGCGGGGGAAGGATGGTGATGGAAATGCCGCAACACGCCAATCAGGGTTCTTCAAACAGCATCTCACAGGTCACCGTGGCAAATGCAAGCAGCAGAAGTGCCATACGCCATCCTTCCACAATCGTGCTTGGTTCAACCACCGTTGAGCCCATCCTTCAAGGTCACGGCACTTGTGGAGCAATCCGACGAAAAGGCCAAGCGATGAGTGCTGAGCTACGTCTAATAGATATACTGCTGGATGTACTGAAATTCATGACATTAGGAACAAGATGACCATTCTTTGCTATTCTATCGCCTCAATCTTTCCTCTGATGGTGCAGCTACGCGCAATTTCAAATGAACAGATACCATGCCTAGCATGACGCCGGCCTAATCTATACGCCATAGTAATAACGCCCGTGCAAATTCGAGTTTTATCATACATCGAAAGGCCGTACTGATTTGTCGCGGCTAACGCCAAACATACTTAGTGTGTCATGCGACTGCTGTGAATACGCGTAGCGTCAGATATGAAGTCTAGTATACAAGAGTAGAGAAGCGCTGTGACCTGCAAGAAGCTGTATAGCAGCTGAACCTACATTTCGTTGGCGGTATACATATAAACCCCAGGTAACACCCCTGAAGTTGATCCGGTGTAATGCGGTTACGGTTCCTGCAGGACATTTAACTGTCGGTATAGAACAATTCTCATAGGTCCCATGAGCGTCTCATTCCCAGGTTTCTGTTAGGCTCCCGAACTTTCCTGTGGCGCAACATGGTGCCTAGAACTGCGTCGAAGCAGTTTCTTGGATACAGGTTTATCTTGGCACCTGGAAAAGGTTTATGCGGGACTGGGCAGCCTTGGGCACGCTTTACGGACTTTGCGCGGGTCTGCGTAGGGCAAGGTCCGCCTGCAAAGACCGTAACGTCCAGGCTTTAGCAACTTTACACCACTTCTGCGGATGCCGTTCGGCCTCAATCCCCCTCGGTTTGATCAACATCTGGTGTTGTGGACGGCCGAGCGTACATGTGACCATCCCCCCTTCCTATCTGTTTGCATTGGCTTGCTTAGGAACTCAGAGTCACATCCGGGCTCCGGGGCTTATCCATTTATGGTCGTTTTAGCATTTCATAACCCTAACAGAGGGGGCTGTGAACAATGAAGTGACACGGCCTGCTTGCATTGTCATTGCCAAATGCTGTATCGTGCCATGTCATAAAGAAGGCAGCTGTTAACAGAGACCGAATGCTGGTATGACTTTTCAAGGTTACGCTTGAGTACGTACAGATCACAAGTCATAAAATACCTACTGAAGGCCACATACCAACTAATGTCTTAGGGATGCATTTCCACGATGAAAGGCTAAGATCTCAAAACGCGTTCGGTACCAGTTGGCCGTTGAAGCTCCGTTTTCAAAATATCGCTAGAGGCTAAGAGGATGTACATCGTGCGTAAGAGCAATTTACACGTAGTTTCCTTTCATGTAGATCTTGCCCTAACCAGCTCACCACTTACGCTCGTCTCGTACCTTGGATATGATCGCCCTCGTTGGGTGTTGTTCCAAGTCAATTAGATTGTCGATGTTTGCTAATAGTTATGACAAAGGTATGAGAGCTGTTTAGTCTCGTCCAGACGACTTGCTGCAAACACCGCTCACGCTATACCCTGTGACGGAACGACACCAGACATCGTAAGGGACGATTTTCATTGCTCCAATCAATTAGGACATGCAGCTGAGATTGACGCAAATCAGTAATGGCTGGGCAGGTCGGGCAAAGTATCCTCTGACTCCTTTGCACCCAGCCCTGCGATATCCCCATTCGTTGCGCTGTCGGGCATCGGATGGCAAAGATCGCCAACCAAATGGTCCTGAAGAGAAGCAGCCAAAGGAAAACCCTTCGGAGCTTACGGGCAAACTGAATGCTTTGCTTGAGGACCTCCAGAAGCAGGGCATGGACTCGAAGAAGGTAAAACTGGCGAGCATTTAAATGGTAGGACTATATTAATTGATTATGTGTACGTGCGAACTGCGCGCCGTGGACTAGCTGTGCCTGGCCTGCGAAGGGTCCTCATACTTCAACAATTATAAAGTATTTTCCTGTGCATGGCATCGCCGCTTCCTGGCGTGTGGAATCTTGGTTAGGCGAAAGCGGTACTGAAGAAGTGGCGCGATTTGGGTGTCTCCGACCCCGAGCAGCTACGGAAACTTTTACTTCGGAGGAGCCTTAAGCCGGCAGCAACGGTCGGTAAGCAATCTGTGTGCGAGACATCCTGATGAGATATGGTGCCGAATCACGGGCCGCTATGTACCATGGTTCACTAGGTGCGTAACTGTGCGCAGCGTCCCTTTTATCATCCAATATCTTAACTGGCTGCTGCACATGTCCAGGGATACAGGCATTGCTCGATGGCTTGGCTTGCTGGGGCGGCTTCTACACGGCTGGCCTCATTGCCGACTCGCCGCCTTTCACGGGGCAGTTCGCCCTCCAACTCGCCGCGTCATTCTTCGGCTTTTACTACGTCCTGCAAGCGCTGCTCAACCTGTCAGTAGCGTCCGCGCTACTGTTTACCGCTTACAAGTGAGGACCATTTGGCTTTGCCTATGCAAGGTGTCCGCAGGGGCTTCGCCGGCGTCCTGTAAGGCTTCATCAAAAGCACTTGAGGGTTGATATAATTAATTGGACCGCATTTCAGTATAACCTGATCGTCAATTGCAGTGCGTGTGCATGCTCTTTGTAGAAGCAGTGTAATGCACGGTCATTGAAGATCTGCAAATCACATTGGGCCTCCTCACGATGCTAACCTGCTTCCGGGCCCCGCCTCGAAACACTGTCAGGTACGGCACCAATTCTGTGGAGCTGCTGGCGGCCGTACAGCAGCTGGCCGGCCCCGCCACTGGCCTTAACGTGCTGGATAAGGCCCAAGTGGCGGTTAACACGCTCAAGGTATTGCAGACGTTGGACGAGATTGCAGAGCTGCTCAAGGTAAGCCGTTCGCTGCTGGTGCACGGAGGTTGGGCTGGCGGTACTTTAGCACATGCGAACTACTAATACAAATACACAAACGGGGACATGTCATATGGGAGTTCCGTATAATGGATGCTGCCTGTGTTGGAGTAAAAAAATGGGCGTGGTGTACGGCACGGGCGCCGTACATCACGCAGACGGTTGAAACCCTTGCGTCTTGTTCTATGGCCCCGCGCCCTCGGCTCCCTTACCTCCCACGGCGCGCAGAACATGTCGACGACCTCTCCGCAGCGCTCCACACTGCAAAACCTGTCGGCGTACCTGACGCTGGCGCACGCCAAGCAACGACTGGGCTTCGACCCGGCTCGCTACGGTCTGAGCGAGCCGGAGGCAGGGGAGATCGCCTACGTCTTCTCCACTTATGACGTCAACGACGACTACCGGCTTGAGCTTTCGGAGGTCAAAAAGCTTTGGTGGGTGCCCGGCCCGGGAACCATGAAACCATGTGGTTTCTGCGATGGGACGGCTGCTGTGCGACTCGCGTTTCTGGAACGCCGGCTTGGGGAGGGTGGTCCGTGTGGTGGTGGGGCCGTGACAGTTGTCGACCGTTGTTGCCCAGATTCCCGTTGCCTATCTCTTCCTTTTTCCCCTAAAGTGGGGATTGCCGGTATGGTAAGGTAGCTGAACTGCTGGGTGGTCGGGGACTTTGGGCTCTCAGTTGATTGGGCAGCCAGGTGCAGCCGGGTGAGTCATAAGGCTGGCGGCCCGTAAGCTGCGTTGTAACCCTGTCTGCCTGAAGGGTCTGGCTGCCGACCTGGTTGCTTGCCCCCCGTCACCGTCCACTTTGCCCCATTCCACCGACTCATCGGACCGCAGTCAGGATCTGGGCAAGGAGCTGACGGAAGACGAGCTGAAGGAGGCGATGCGCATCCTGGACACCTCCAAAAACGGCTTCGTGGAGCTGGATGAGTTTTGCGCCTGGTGGGTAGAGCTGGGGCCGGAGATTGCGGCTCCTGGGCAAGCTGTCCGGTCGATATTTTGCTGCTGGGCGGTTAGACAGGTTGCATGGACTCGAGTATCCAGTCTGTGGGTGCGCCAGCCTTTGGGTTCTCCTTAGCAGCTGTGAAGCAGGGTGTCCCAACAAATTCCCAGAATTCAGCTAGGTAGGGTCTAAGCAGCTTGCTATATGTTTGTTTGGCGCAGGTGGACGAAGGCCAAGAAGGAGGTGTCCGCGTGAGGGTTGGGATTGTCAACACGTCATGCAGGGCATTGGAGGTGTACTTCCGGCAGTAGGACGGCGACCTGGGGAGGGGTGTAACTTCAGCCCAGGGGCCAAGCACCTGCGGCGATGGAATTGTAATGGCACGGTGGCAGCGGGAGAGGCGGCATGTCTGCAGCTAGGAGCCTGGTGGGCACTTCGGCGTTTGGCATACACGGAGGGACCTGCACCTGGGGTTGTCCACTTTGCATAGTCTGAGGGGGAGACTGTTTTCCTTAGACGGGCGCTAGTCGTTATGTGCAATTCTTTCATATTGTTCAAATTGCACGGGTGTTTCTGCTTTGGTTTCCGGGGCGCGGACTATCTGGCAACGGAGTGTCGCACGGTGCATGGCTCGCGCCGCTGCACCTGATGTTAGCCCTTTGTATCCGCACAATCTGTGTGTTGGGGTCGAGATTATCTCTTTAGATGTGCGGTAGGCAACAGTTTGAGCAAAGGTGCCCGTATCGGCAGTGCAAATGTACGGGTGCCGTTCCCGGTGTCGACGCCCTAGGAAAGGCAGGGCAAAGGAGGGGGTGGAGCCGTCGTGGTTATGCGGCGCAACACAAGGAGCGGTCCTGAGGGCAACCCGGACGTAATCCCTGTCTCGAAACCTTCGACTAGGCAAACAGGGACAAACTAGGCAAACCCGGACATGCACAGCGCTATATATGGTGGAAAAGGAGCCATTGCGCGAGTGAGTAGTAACACTGTGGGTGGAAACGCCGTTGCTGATGCAAGAAGTCATCGCAGCTGCCCACGTCGGTGTGCGGCCGTAGCGCTGCTGCGACGCTTTTGTTGCTGGCGTACACCTTTAAAGGTTTGTCGCCGTGAGCGTGCTGATAGCAGAAGCACTGTACTGTTGTACATTCTCCTTCTGGAATGCGGCATACCCTTGTCGTGCTTGGAATTTCGATGTTAAGAGGCAAGACCAAGCGTGCAAGTGAAGCAACTTGCATATTGGAATCTATTGGAATCCCATGGTGGCCAAACTACATATATCCATTAGAATCCCATGCCTTATTGCATAGGAGGTGATGCGGACCAGGGCCGCCCGGCTGCCGGCTTCTCAGCTGCCAAGAGCCGTGAGGCGTGAGGAAAGATTGTCGTGCGGCCTGTGCGGCTGAATCCTGTCGGAATGGCCAAGGTGCCTTGTGGATTAGAAGTGTATAGGGTCTAGAGTCTGCTGACGAGTGCGCTTCACCAACAGTTGGTTCAACTGCCGCGTCTACAACGGAGTGAACGCAAAGCTTTACTCCTGGCAATGTTGTTTCTAGGCATGATGCATACGCCTAGAGTCAGGATCCTTCCGGGGTAGACGCAGCCCTACGCCGTGTCCTCTTCGCAATACTTTACAACAGAGGATTCCTACTAGGGATAGGAAGTTGAGGCAGCTTCTCTCAGTTGATTTTGCAGACTGCAAAGTCTCAACCTAGTCTGATTTCTTATTGCCCGATGGAGGCTCCCGGTGATCCAGTTGCGACAAATCGGCCGGCGCCTCATGCCCCTGGGGAGAGCGACCATCATCAGGGCCAGCCAACCGCCACGTTACCGCCATAAACAGCAAGACGCCACCGACACGGACCTCAGGCTTTAACTTGACAAACAATCCTGCTGCTTGGCATACAAAGAGACCTAATGAGAACACAGCCACTGCCAATACACGGATGCGCCGTCTTGCGCTACCGGCGCCGAAAAGTCCAAGTCCGGTAAAGCCCACAATCAGCAATGTGATGGCTGCGATTGTCTGCACATGAGCATGCTGTCCGACGCTAGATTGTATGCACAGAAGAGTCCCGGCGCTGATTCCCATCCACGACAGGACTAAGCGTGGATCGGAGGTGCGCGGCCCAGGGTCCGGTGTCTCAAATGTCAGAAGCAGCCCCATAGCTGTGCAAAGTGAGCTGTGACAAGCAACTGAGGATAGCTTTGGATGCTCATGCAAGAGTTTAGCACTGGCCTGCTTCCGGAATGTATCCCTCTTGAATAAGTAGTTGTCGTCATACAACTTTGAGAACCACTGGAGTTCTTTATAGTACACTAGGTTGCTAAGGATGCCAAAAGACAAAGAAAGACACGAGGAAATAATGGCCCACCATGCCGTATCAGGTATCCCGTAACACCAGCGGTCTGCATTACACCTCACTCTGTTAAGACGAATTCAATACAAAGCATCAGCATTCAACCGGACTCAGGTAGCTGGATATTGTTGATGATAATGGGCGGCTAGTTCCTAACGGTCGGCCACTGGCAACCCCCGTCCATTATAGAAAATAATCTCACCTATACACTACCCAGCCATCAAAGCCAAGGTTGATATGGCTTCCTTACACATGACAATGGCTTGCGGTCGCAATAGATGGTTGTAACCTATGGTAGGCATTATGCACATGAAGCTACCCTACGCGCCATTTGCATCTATGTGAATTGCTGCGTGGTGCGAGCTTGTGCAAAGCTTCACAAAGATAATATATTTATTCTTCAATTTTGGAAAGCTGGCTGCAGGTCGTAACACCACTCAATGAGCCGAAATAGCCGGGCCAACCAACCGCTAAGTCAAACATAGCCGGTGGACAGCTGTGTGATGCTCAAATGCCATTGCTATTTCTCCGATGCACCAATCAGTGATAGTGAGCCACCACGCTTGATGTTATCATCGGCAGCCAAGGTGCGAGGAAGCTCCACACAGCACATTCATAAAGGCCTCTACTGGTTGTATCAGTTGCATGATGAGGCCGGCCGCTGGAAGACTGGTACCCTTCTGGGCACGTTTCACAAATTCTGGTTTCCACGAGGAGTTTCGGCCCCCGCTTCACTTGAGTTTGCATGAGGGGCCCTGTCCGCGTCATACATGCGGTAGGGTATGGAGCACTGACGGGGAAGGTCGTCTGTTCATCTCCTGACGGGCCAAATCGCTCCGCGCTGCTTTGACAGCGTGTTTCGATCTCATACGAAAGGTGCCTGCAAAGGCCTGTTCCGGCCGAATGATAGGACCTCAATGCGACCCGGAACGGTGCTTGCGGCCCGCAGACGTCAATGGTATAGCTATGACGTGGGGTCCCGGCGAACATGCTGGTGTCCAGCGCATTAGATACCTTTTACCTGTAGATCCCCAGATCATGGTTTGGCCAATCGGTTTTTGCGACGATCCCATGTAATGTCGCAGTCCGGTTATTAAAGCTAACGGACCAATACGTGCTCCCGCCGTCCGTAGTCTATTCGGTCCGCAACCCGTCGCTGGATTATCAGGGGGTTTTCCGGTTATTTGGGCAGCATTATGTGGCCAGTGCATGTGCCTTGAAGGAAAGTCTTTAAAAACCTTCAAAACCGCACCAGCAGTTCGGACCCAGCTGACCAACGGCTCAGGACAATGCAGGTCAGTGATAAAGCGACTTCAAATTGCCCCAAATTTCTGCTCGTTATAGTTGATGTAAAGATGAGATGGGAGATGCGTTCGACCGTTTGCATCTTGGCCACCGGCGCTCGGCGCCCGGCACGTCACACTAGGCTTCTTAACCTCCTGAAAAGGCTTACGACGGAGTCGTAAGCCCTCCTAAGCTTAATAAATACAAAATTCATCACTTTAGTTCTGTACCACGCCTTTTGGGAAAACGTTCGTTTGTAAATGTGGACGTTCGCAAGGGGTTCGCTATGGCCGCGTTTCAGAGGTGGCGGGTGGAAAGGGGTAACGTCGCATCGAAAAGTCATCCCACGCATAACGCAGGCCCACAATGCTTCAGAAAATTTTGAAAGATCACTGAAACGAGTAGGGAAACACCAGACTGACCTTTCGATGAGATTTGTACGGAACTGGCGTTCATGGGAAGTTAGGTGAACACAGTGAGATTGCCCAGCTCCTGGGCATTTCTAATAAAGCACTCCCTTTGTGATAAAGCATATTTTGCACCATACATGAAATCAACCACATTTTAGCCAATTTGAACCGCAAGTTAGGAGTAACGGCATTTCCGCCGGCAAAAGAGTATATATGCGATGCATTAACCTATACCTATGATTTTGTAGTCCTGGAAAAGGATTGGACTAAGCCCTTCAGGAGTGACCTCGCAAGGTTACGCCGGTGACTGCTATTACGCAGCGCCCGAATCCCCAACGTAATTCCCATCGTCGTCTATTCATCGTATTCTTATAGATAATAAGGCAACTTTGTCATGGTGAGTAGGGAATCACAGCGCCTGGGCGGTAATTGAGTGGCCCCTGCCTAATACGAACCGTCCCCCATACAACTACGGCTGGACAAGGGTTTTAAGGGCTTGCAGATTTAAAGGCTGCAGTTGCGCACGAATGACCAATACTTCTGGCTTACAAATGTGGTTAGACATGGGATTGGTTGGGTGGACGTGTTCTTCACTATTCACCCGTGCTGCTACTTGCACGCTTTTGACACACAATCAACACATGGGCCGCAGTAATAACATGTCCGTAGTCGGAAATTAACGAGGTCTTGCGGCATTGCTAATTATTGTACCACCCGCGGGCCTCCCGAAACCCTCCTGCCTTCCTGTGTCCAGCAGACCCCACACTCCGCGCTGAAAGAAGGTAAGCGGTGCTCCTCAGGGCAGTCGGTGCGCAATTGAAGCACCACACTGTCAATATGGTTGCCCAGACTGAATGACTTATGCTACAGTGGACGCTGAATGAGCTGCGGCCCATCCAGGAGCTGCACCAAGCGTTGCCCTGCACTCTTACGGCCGGGTCCCCTTTGGAGCAAACGCAGCAAACCGCATCTAGATATCCTCTTAGGTTACGCCACCAGTTATTTCCGGCATACACATGACTCCACGGTGCATGCATTGCCGGCCTGCCCGGGTATTCCTGGACACTTACACCTACAACGTTTTATCACGGCAGATTCGATGGCGCTTTCTCACTTCGTCCTACCAGGCGCATGGGCACTCGGCGAAGGCTTGGTGCGTAGTTCACGGTACTTATTGGGTGCTGTTTGATTGTACATCTGGAACTGCTCATATATGCGTGTGCGCATTTCGACCGCCATGCGCCATGATTTCCTGCTTATGCTGTTTGTTGTACCTAACTGTGGCTGCGTGCGGTGTGCTATCTGTGCATAGCAAAAACTCGACAGCCTCAGAAGCTGTTAATATTGACAGGCGTGTTGCTGTCAAGACCTACATTGTGGCTACGCCATTCCTACCGAAATTTTGCAGGACATAGCCATGCCCACGACGCACCGAGGTTCAAACACCTTGGACTACGATCCTATGAGTGCGGTTTGGTCCAGCATACGCGAGACAGTGGCGGTTGCATTCCACATGGTGGGCTGGAAATGGGAGTACAGGTGCGTATCTGATCTTCTGATGATGGTTGGGGATATGGCAAACGTAAACCATGCAAGACTAAGCCATCAGTGGCCATCAGCTACGCCAGGTGCCAAAGGTTCTACGGCTCCTCGCCATTGATTTCTGGCTGTCTGGCCGGGTTCGGTTATACCCTGTCTGGCTGACATGACACCGTACGGTCGGCGTGCACGGGTAATGCCTGTGTCATGTGTATTGAAACCATGCTATATATTGCGTCATGACTTCTCACGATGCCATGCTGTTGTCCCTCCCCCTCCAGCGGTGCATCTGCCACCCCGTCAAAGAAACCCTTCTCTCGTAAGCGCAGCAGCAGCCCCGGGCGGAGCAGCTGGAGCAGCAGCTGTGCCCTGGAATCGCTTGACTCCCTGGACCTATCCGATAGTGACTGCAGCGAGGAGAGCGAGGCAGAGACCTTGGCGCGGCTGGCGAGGAGAGGGTTGGGAAAACAGTACTGCGAAAAGCAAGATTAGCACGCCCAGGTCAGGACCTATAGCTTGTGGCCCGCTGAAATGATTTTTGTTGGAGTGTGCGACATTACCACCTGATCTCGGCAGGGTGTGCAATAAAACTGAGCCTCTGGCAGGGCAGGCTTTATGGGTGTGCGTGTGCATAGTGTATTTTCTGCAAAGAGGAACGCATACGCGAAATGCGGTGCATGCTGACAATGCAATCAGAGAATGCACCGTCGCTGCAAATGAGCGGCGCGTCGCCTTATTTTTTGGAACGCTTCACAAACAAGTGGTGGAGCTCGGCCACAGACGTGGTTGGTTGGGTGGTGTTAGCAGCAGTGGAGCCTTCCTCGCTCACCTTGTGATTGTCCTGGTGATCCCCGACGGCAAAGGGGCGGTGCCGCGCAGGGAAGTTGCCCTTTCTGTATTGGATTTGTGAGTCCGGTGTTAAGATGTTAGGTCTCCTTGCATAGCTGCTGCCGGTGCTGCGAAGGTAAAAATTGAAAATAGATTTGAGCCATGGGACAACGGTGTGATGTATCGTGACCAGTTAGAAGTTTTTCGAGTGCAATTGGTCTCATGATTTGCTTCGCAGGTCTATGCACTGTCTGGAAAGACGCTATCATTGGCCTTCATCTTACGTGCATGCAATCCGCATGGTTAGGATACCGGAGTCGTAATCCCAAGGATGAATATCATGACTACGGTTGCGGAATTTCGTGTCCCCCGATTTGTTCAGGCGTGTCGGGGCGTCTCGCTCGTGCTAATTTTCGCTATAGCTTAAGGTCCTTGCACAGGGGCCACTTTTCTGGTCGGCTTTTGGAATGAGGTTTAGGTGAAAAGAACATCTTGACCATATGGATATAATGAGCTGTCTGTGGTGCTTGCTAAACGCATGATCACCTGGCGTGAGAACGGGATATGTGGCGAGGACATATAGCAAGGCCGCGCTATTCGACTGGACGCATTAGCCTAGTGTTGAAGCATGCAAAGTGCGATGTCGATGGCGACGTTGCAACACGGCCTTGGGAGGTACCGCAGGTGTGTGGTCTAGACCGCTGTGAGCAGTACCTATCATGGAAACAGGTTGTCGGGATCCGTTTCGCCCAGCATATCCCTTGCACATCCAGCTCGCGCGCTCCGCTCGTGCGCATATACGCGGTTTTAAGTCTGTCTCCGCACTGTGGATGTGTTATCGTCGGTGCTGTTCCACTCACCGTGAAACGTCAAAAGCCTTAAACTGGCATGGTTTCGGGATCGCACCAGCCACGCCACAACCTGCCTTAGACTGGACTGTTATACGAGGCACAGGAAGGCTGGGGGCAGCATTTGCCATTGCAACGGGCCGTTTACTTAGCACACCCGGTCCTCGTCACCTCAGGTAGGCGTGGGGCCCGTAATGCTTGGCGCGGCATTGCAAGCATCCCATGAGCGGTACATTGTAAAAGGACATCCGATGAGTTGCCCGCAAAGGCGTGTACAATCGCGTGTTGCATTGCCTGGATACGGCGCCATACTATCGTGGGGCTGTCCAAAGAGGCTTATAGAAGGACTGGAGGAGCCCTTCCACATCTTCGGCCGCGCAAGCCTAAAAATACCTCGCTGGAAACCTGTGGCAGGTTTAACAACGTGCTCGCTACTACGTCCCCTAGAAGCAAGCAGTCGATTCCTTCCCAACGCGAAGGTTTCTCTACCGCATCCAACCGTTATCCTTGTATGTTCATAGCAGTAAAAATGACGGAAAGCAAATTGACATGATTTGGGGGAAAGTTGACCCAGATAGAAGCAATTGTCAAAAGCCAAAGCGTTCTCTATTACTCTGAGGTAGCCTGAATTTACACGAACTAGAATCCATGGCTGCTCTTAGCAACCCACGTAGAAGATGACTAAAGCCCGTACAGCGTCAGCTTACACGTGTACTTACGAAAAAGGATAACGATGGCAGACAATGCCGGGCTCCATCACGTTCGACTTTAGAAAATCCAAAGTTGTGCATTCATAATATAACTGCAGGGCTCATTCTTTTCTCTCTTGGGTAGCTTTGACTCCTCTTTGTGGGTCCACCCTCTCACACGGTAACGTGACCTGGCTTTCCAAGAAATCAAGTATTCCTTTTTCCCTAATTAGGAAAAAGATGGATCACGAGGGATCGTATGCACGCGGCCTTTGTGGCGCGGTACCCAACCTGCCGCCGCTGCACAAACTTCCACAAGTTAAGAAGCAAGATTGCACGCAGGTGCGCGATTTGGATAACGAGGTTTAATCGTTCATTCCCAACATTTTATTATGGCCTGGTATGGTTTTCGGGTCACTTCAACGGTTGTCACATGGCATAGTTTTTATATGAGGCTGTTTTTGCAGGATATGTGGGACCAGGACAAGGCTGGACGAATTGGTAAGAGGCCGTTTCCATATGTTAAACTCTCGGCAAAATGTCGAAATCGTCATCGGTGTCGCCTTCGTGCGCTGCAGATTACCCGCTTTGGGGAGACCTAAGTCGCGGCAGTTCAAACATGATGATGCTTCCTGGTGCTTGGGCTGTGGGGGACGGACTTTTATTGGTGAGTGTGGCCTGCCGGTCTGTGCTTAACCCCCGCCCCCACACTTCCGTTGAACACTGTTGAAGACTGTCTCTTATGTATAGGAGGCGGAGATGCACGAGGTGCAGTGGAGCGTGTCTTCCAACGCATCGTATGGTTCAGCTCCGTGGAACGTTGAGAGCCTTAGCTCACAGGTTGTACGCCTTGCTGGCTCGTTTCGAAGAAGCCTTGGCGGTTACATTGCGGACCTCACCACCGCCTTGACCAGCGACACAGCCATTAGTGGAGACACGTAAGTACGTGGTATCGTGACGCCATTGTATTGCTAATTATTTGTCCTTGGCGCTCTTGGAGGCCATTTTCGTTGTGTCGAGTATACTAGGGCAGCACGTTGACTGCTGTGTGTGAGGCTCTTTGCCAAGCATGGCCTTTCGATGCTCAGGGTTTCGTATCGACATTGCATCGAATTTCATTAAGCTGAGTCCACCGGTCCTTTTGCAAACGATCTTTTGCCACAGGGAACTCCCCGAGCATACCACTTTCATTGAGGGCGAGATTGCGTGGATGCCCCATGCCAGCGCTAGCTGCACCAGCGCCGACAAGAAGCAGAAGTAATAATAAGGCCACCGGAACAGTCAGAGATGCCCATTTTTAGGACTGCGTCTGCAGCTTAGCTCAATCACAGGCGCTATGGCACTCGAGCGCAAAGCTTATTAAGCACGTGTGCGGCAGCATGAAACGTCTGGCGGTCAGGTTGCTTTGATGAGTTGAGGCTTCACCATCATGGTTTACCTGCTGGCGTCAGGAAGTTTGGGTTGGGTGAGTCAAATGGCATTACGTATTTTAGGTGCATACACGTCGCGGAAGGGGCCCCAATAGGGGGATGGAGAATCACATATTTTAAAAAACTCTAGAGCAAATAACGAGCGTGCGGCATCCTACCCTGCTAGCGCTCGATTTAGGTCTTCCGCAAATCTCATGCGGCCAATACATATGTCAAGGCAAAACCTTCATTATGGTCCATTATTTCTCGCACGCCTGAGCGCATAGTTATGAATTTGAGTGTGTGTGCGTGTATTTCTGTGGGGGGACCCGTCGTGGCCAATTTCCCCCCGGCCATTTAAAAGTCGATGGCCGCTGCATCGAACGTTTTATTTATGTTAATAGTTTGTTTATTAGTTTTTGATGCCTAACCTGTTACCTTATGTGATGGCCTGTCAGTTCGTAAAAAGAATGCACGCAATGTCGCTAAGTCGACCACCATAGGCGCTGTATTTTTTAGCCTGGTTGCTGTCCTCTGTTCTCCTTTGTCGCGGCGTAGCACCTGCGACCTGCATCTTAGGCGCGTGACAGAGCAGATGGCTGTATCACGGGGGATACAGCTGGTGTGGGGGCGCAGTCGGAATTTCGCCCAAAGTGTCCAAACTTAACTCCTATTCAACTGCTTTGGGTGTCACTATGAAGGGGAGTATGAATGTCTATTGCCGCAAGGCAATAAGCTTTTTGACTAGATGTGTTTATGCACACCAGAAAGGTTAAGCGGTGCGAACTGCACCCAGCACTTGCTGAGACTATCGGCCAAGTTGTGCTGGCTGGCTTTGTAACTAGGAGCCCTAATGGCTTGGTCTGGGACAATATTACTGGAGTCCCCATGCTTCTGGAAGCGTCTTTTTAAGTTGACTGGTGCTTGGCTTGGCTGATCCACATGCGAACAACTACCATATCTGCTAGTTGTCTTGAAATATTTTGCAGATTGCGCTTTCCTCGGGGGCACCTACATTCCAAGGCACGGCCTTGGACGCCACAGCAGCAGCCGTCCAAGAACGAGGTTACAGTAACGCGCGTCCTGACCTGCGTACGAGAATGCCCTACCTCGTGCCTTCCGGTATCCGACCAAGTTGGCAAATGCGCCAGATAGATAGATAGAAGCTTACAGTGGACCCCACCAGATCACCGGTGCTGCCCGCAACCATATTAATGTATAAGCCCCAAAAAGAGGCGGACCCCGCACCACAGCCCTTACAACGCCAAATAGACCGAGGCGCTCGTCTACCCCGCACTTCGGCGTACTAGAGGCACGGCTAGCGATTTGGGCCAGGATAAAGGTCATAGCTAGGGAGTCAGCAAAACACGGGCACCAGTATTTGCAACCTTCCGCCAAACTCCCCACCCGGCGGATGGCCCAGGGCTCTCGGAGAGACTTGGGTAGGCTCGGGGCGTTCCTGAATTATTTCAAGGGGCCCATGCACTGACTCCAAAATTACTCGGGAGGCTACAAGGCAGGGTTAAAGCTACAGTAGGTAGCTTATTCTTGTCACACCCTACCACCCAGCTATAGACTACTCCTCCACACTCCGAAAGTACCTCGTCGTATCCATCAACATGTCAGGGTACGGCCCCAAGGGCCCAACTCATATTGGTCTTGGAACAGGCTGCGTACCGTAGCTCTTGTGCAGAGGCCTCCCATCCCGAGCACCATGCTTCTTCCTACTGCGGTAGTGGCAAAACTTTGCACCGCCACTGGTTCGTCCGGACAGCCACGTAATCTCTTTGGGCCTGCCATCGGGGTCCGGCATTCCGATAGCCCAACATTCATCATGACTAGGCGCGCTAGTGATAGAGCACCATCTGGCGCGCTGGTGTATTGTTCTGACTTGAGCCGAGGCGCTGGGTCTTTGCACAAGACCGTCGTTCCAACATTCTCCTGCCGACTGGGGCGCATGGGGGACTAATCTACAGCTCCGAGTATAGTTGACTATGGTCCACCAATGTGGTCTGTATGATAAATCAAGTTCCCTACCGCAGGATTATTTGGGGAATTGAGCTTTCAAGGATAGGTAGTTGACTTGGTTATTTTTTTAACTTACGCGGGCAAACGTATGGTCGCAAATGGCATATACTCATATTTCACAAACCTCTAAAGCCAAGATATACGGACGAAAATGGTGATTTAGCCATGGAGGAAACGTGCTGGCATCATTGTTTTGTCTAAAGCCTGGACCTTAAGAACTTTTGAAGCACAGTTGGTTGAAGCACATTTGTCATAAATGTACGTCATAAATCGGCGAGGGGGGGTTCGGGCACAAGATCAGGTACTCCGTACTCATCGCGGGGTGCGCAAATGCAAACATCCGTCTTTCAAGTTTACGCAGTTTCAGCTCATCATGAAGATTATATAATACAATTTGCCAACGCCTGTAATTATTCATAAAATTTTGCGATGAACACCTCGTGGGAGTAGCTATACCGACTCGGACGCTTAACGAATTGATAAAATTTCTTCCCCAAATGTAAACCATATAACGAGAAAATTTAAACAAGTTATAATATAACTGCAGTGTCTAGTGGGTGATTTGGCGGGGGGTGGTTGCTTCCGAAGGAGAGCTCTTGCCATCGCCACCCAGGAACGGTCTGACCAGCAAGGCTTCCAGCCGACCTTTTATTGCTGGACATTACGATGGTCAGTGACGCTAAAGAGGTGAGTAACCATGGCGTGCCCTGATAAGACAGCCGCGACGTGGCCAGCACGGGGTCCTGCCTCCCGTGCCTTGGTTCGTTGACGCCTCAGGACATCGATGAGACATAGGTGTGTCAATCAATCGACAGGTTTTCACACCGGGGAGTGTCGAGGTTTACGACCGAACAGGTGTGCACAACTCTCATGTAAATATGAGTAATTTACAGCTCAGCCTGTTACCACGCCCGTCCAGCCCGAGCTTAGCATGAAATTATCTTCCCAACCACTGCAATGCAGGGATACGATTGCTGGTATTTCCAGGAGCATGGGCTCTCGGTGATGGTCTTTTCGCAGTAGGCGCTTCGCCCCCAACCTACGTTGTGTTAAAATCGCTGATATAGGCCCCGAATCAGGCCCTCCTGACGCACTCGGGCTCCGTTTGCGCAGGAGGCTCACGTCTACATCGACGGATCGCCAGAACGGCAGTTGGAGCGATCTTTTCCATCGCCTCAAGGCACAGAGGATTTTGGCACGAAAGCCCTTCGAATAGCGGGCTCGTGGGGAGAGAACCTGCGATTGTACCTCACGGAATACCCCAGTCCTCGGGCAGGGTCTCCCTACAGGAACAGGTAAGCATGGCGTTCTCGTGTGGGATGGGGCATGCAGCGTCCCTGCCTGATGAAAGCGTTCACAGCTTGGAAACCTACCGGTGGCCATGCACCGGTGCATTGTATGCTGCTTCCAATCAGTGGACTTTGTACTGAGTCCATATTGCATTATGCGACCCGCTACGTCTGCCGAACGTGTTCACGCCAGCCGGCATCCCGTCACTGACGCCGCATGCAAGTGCACGCTTTGACGCGCCCTCGCGTAATTGCAAGCCATTACCACGAAAGCATGAGCAGCGCCATTTCGGCTGCCCTCTTTCCTTCGAAGGAGCGGCTCCTCTTCGGCGGTGGTGGACGACCTGAGCCCTGCGAACTCTTTCACTGCCCCTAAAACTGCGGGGAGCGGAGCTCATGCGCAGTGCCCATGGTTCGCCGGGACCGACAATAACAAGAAGAATGACTGAGGTGTAGCTCGGTGGCTGGAGGGCCCCTGCAGGCCGGCAGCTCAGGTGCCTGTGGCATTAATTTAGCATGTCACCCGCGTGTCATCTCGGCAGATCCTGGGTTGCCGTGAGCATAGCACTTTCAACCGGGAAGCAACCCTATTTCGGTGTATGTGTGTTTATATGTGTGTGTGCTGGTTCAGCGTCGTAGTATTTGTTGTGCACTTCTTACCCCCTAGCTGGCCCCCGTTCCGCTTTCCGGCCACTAGCTAATGACTGTACATCAACCGTGGCTAATCGCGACTTTCGACTAGTAGACTGCTATTCTTTAATTACTTGGGGGGCATATGATTCCAAGTTCCTACCCGCATGCCTGAGGGTGGACCAAATGACTGAAGCGATGTTGAGCGGTCCATGCCCTGACCGTTGAGGAACGTTCCAGGATAACAACACAAGCCAATGTTCGTCCTATGCGTTCTCGATTTAGTGGGAAGACTTAATGAGCTTGTTTTATAGTCTGTTGCATGCCGCTCCGTCACGTGGTTGTACTACACAGGAAGTTTTCGGCCCCACTACTGCGATTGTTTCGGGCCATTCATCATGCGTTCCTCCTGTCCCGTAAAACATAGAGCTCTAAGCCCTCTGTGCCGCAAATTGTTTAGCGGGTGGCGTAGTTTTGTGGGCCTGAGGGCCGTTTGGGGCGAGCCCTGCTTTCGGCTCGTGAGCCGAAATTGTATCTAGCGGACTTGCGACAACTTTAGTTACTGAGGATATACATAGGAGGGTAGATTGTATATAGCGGATTGGTAGATAGGCCATGCTTATATTGAATTGAGTTGTTATTGAATTGTTACAGAGTGGGAGGCTTCTGGGCCACCTGAACACATTATCATTTCTACGATTTATCAGTATACAGTACTATACAGCTTATCATATGCTTACACCCCTCTCAAAACCTCCGCATGTCAGTGCGCTGCATTACGAGTACTGATCTAATTTATTGGTCTCATGCTTTTGTCATGTTGCCGCAGACGCAGGCAGCAGTCTATACCATTCATCGCCAGTATTCTAGGGTTACAACTAATTGGCATTCTAGAATGTAGACAGTCAAATGGCATGCCCCTCGCAGACAAGGAAGCTGTACGGAAGGGTTAATTGCCACGAGCTTTGACGTACGTGCTGAGTGGTAGGGTTGCTCTGCCCTCCAAGATGAAGTGTGCTAGTTAACTTTGTAAGTCACGCGGCAGGATCGGCTGTTCGGCCATCGTCCACCCTCTTGGCGCTGGTTGACTGGTGATGCATTCCTAAAGTGTAATGCATGCCGTAAAAACCCTACTGTCCATGTTTCGCTCGCACTTGCCACCAGAGCAACTCTATAGGAGAAAAAACAGTCAGAAACGCAAAAGTTACATGTCTCTGAGTCCGACGGTTCTAGGTAAACGCGCGTATCTGTTTGTTGTGTGGTATGTATGCCGTGCGTGTATGACCTGGAGCACGCCATATCGTACCCTCGGATCCATGGCTCCAGGAGGCCCACAAAATGGCCGGCCTCCATTGGATAAATAATTGATTGACGACCAGTTTTGTACAATTGCTCTGTTAAAATGCACATATGTAGTTAGGCTATTACATAACATCATGTTTCGGCGTTGGCAAAAGGAGGCGACTGGCAAATACCGGACGCTTGAATCTTTTAATACGTTCTTAAACCGTTTGTCGACAAATAAGTTTGAAGAGGCGTTGAATGTGTGCGACGCTGCCGATCTGTACTCAGTTTTGAGCGTCCTCCACAGCAAGAGCCGTGACCCTCAGCTGCAAGCCAACCAGTCTCCTGGCTTCTACTATTTCCTCGCGAATGCGGAACATCCTGAGGAAGCTGATGATTCAAGAGCTGTAGCTGACGGCGCCGCCGCACGCGATTTGAGAACGGTAGCTTGCGGTCGTGTGCGCAGGGAAGCCGTGGTGCCCATCAGCAGTAAAAGCACAAAGCTGACCATGGGCTTGCTATCCAAACTTTTCCAGCTTGACGCTCATCCAAACGCGTCGCATATTCTCCTGGGCATTGTCGATGACGATGGGTCAGTTTCTCTGGTCCGGGTCTTCAACTACCTACAACCGCCCTTTGAGGGCCCTGAGGCCCTACCGCCACTTGAGCCAGAGGAGGGCGGTGTGGGTGGTGAAAGCGACGATGACTGATGGTCCTGCTGCTATCTAATCGGCAGACCTTGAGGAGCTTGACGCTGTAGGGGCTGCGCGGTCCACGAAGCGCACCTAGGTTTTGAGGTGAGGCACTTGTTTGCGCAGTCAACACACACCTTGGGCCAACACACACACACACACACACACACACTCCTTTCCGTTGTTATTGTCGCCGGTAAAAATGAGGCTGTGAGGAAACTCTTACAGTTACGGATCCAAATGAAGGTCCAATTACCAAATGATATAATTTTTCTTGCCAATCGTTCTGAGCCTCTACTTACACCCGGGTGTCGCATATCGTGGCGTGAAGGGGGTTAGCCAAACTTGTTAACGTGTTCTTGTTGTTACATGGTCGTGGGTGCGTTCCCCGTACCTGCAAACCACCCTAATACGAGCCTGTTTCGCCTATAAGCACTATCCTACCTGGCACACGTACACGGGACAGTCCAGCAAAATGTGCTTCTCATCCTCGGTATGGCTATCAGTGCCGTAACAGGGGCGTACTCGCTCCTCCCTAGGTATATAACGCCGTGTCTTACGCGCTCTGTTAGCCGCCATTGCCCTGCATAAGTTTGCGATTCGCTGAACGGGATATGCGGGAGCACCTCCTTCCTGCCCGATTGCTCGGCTGCGTTAATTCCCGGTTGCTTGCTCTTAACGTGTTTACCATTACAATGATGCAGGCCACACAAGCATTCAACGATGGCCGTTAATGGCTGCTCTACCTAATGCAGTGGTATATATGCCGGACATGGCGCATGCAGCTGAAACACAATCCCTGGCCGTCTGTCGGGATTGCAAACAAGACACTTCGTCGTCCCCACGTTCTGCTCGGAAGATTACACCTGATACGAACCGATCGCGTTTGCTTATATTTAGATTATCAGGGTGTCAATGAACGGGTGGGTGTGCCTGATTATGAACGGATGGAAGATGCTTGTGAAGTGTTCAGGTGATCCTAAACGTTCGCAATATAACAATTTTGAGGCTCGTATGGGATGAGGAAATGTCGGAATTGTGTAGGATTTTGTTGATATTTTTATACCATTAACACGGCTGTAATCTGACTGATAACTGTCCCACAATCCAAAGTTTCTCTTACTCCTGATCTCGGCTCATGCATATGTACCCTAGTGCACAGATCTGACACTGTCTACAAACATCATTCCTTGCTACACTGGTACCTAAAAAATTAGTAAATATTTTCACTTTTCCGTCTGACTGCAAAATTAAGATGAAGTCAAAGTGGAAAAATCAAAACACAGAGTCAAGGCTTCCCACAACCTTCGACCATCGCAAATCACCGCGAAAAGTCAATACTCCACATCAATACTCCTCTACAGCAAAAAGGTCCTCGTCCGTTAGTTTCTGCAGCCGCCGCAGGAACGAATCCGTCAGTGTCTGCCGGGCCACCGCCGCCGGCCCAGATGCAAGGTAGCGCTGCGCCATCTCCAGCCCCGTCTCCACGCGGAGCAGCTTTTGCAGCGCCGCCTCCGCCGTCGACCGTGTGATGCCCGACGCAGTGCCGCTCGCCAGCACTGCGCACATAGACGGCACCAATGCAGGCAGGTGCGGCTCCAGCAGACCCTCGCTGCCCACTCTGGACCCTACCTCCATAGCCAAGCCTCGCACCGCCAACAGTGCCACGCGCACCACCTCCGAGCCCTGGTCCGGACCCAATAGAGCCTGCAGAACCGCGACGCTGTGCTGCAGAACCGTTGCCACACCAGCGGCACCTGCTATGGTGGTGGCTGCGAGGCGTGCAGCTGCACGTGCTGCCGCCGTCTTGACGCCTGTGTCCTCGTCACGTACCGCGGCACGGATGGCGTCCTGGAAGGGCTTCAGCAGGCCAGCGTCCTCCAGACGAGAGCCGGCGTGGCGAGCAGCGGTGGCCAGAATGATGCCGTTGAGCTGGCGCGCCAATGCGGTCGGCGGCTGTGAGGGTGCAAGTGGGCCCGCCATAAGCACAGAACGCATCACGTCCGGTTGCGCGACGCGGCAGAGGGCGCCCAGGCAGCTTCCAACGTACATGCGGTACTCGTCGTCCTCGCCTGTAACAGGTGGGATCGGTGGAGGTGCATTTTAGAACTCAGGAAACGAAAATCAATGGGGGATGAGTTGTTGGCGATATGAAGACGGTAAGTGGATGGGCCAGGCAGATGAAACCTACGCCCTGAAAGATCCACATACATGCGGGACGAAAGCAACGGGCATTGGCTGCAGTTATTCGCTTTGGTGATACAAGACGACAAGCGCGCTGGGCATGTGTTGTGGCTTGTGTGTGGCCTCACCTGCTGCCGCCCGCATGGTGTCCCGCAGCGTGTCTGCCACAGCGGACACGGCGGGGGCGGCCAAGCGCTCGCCCGCCGCCAGCAGCGCTCCACGAAGAGCGCGAAGGTGGGCATCGCGGACCTGGACACGGTTTGCATTGAGACAGGAAACAGGCAGTGGCGGAAAGGTCAGCAAATGTTGGTGGTTCGAGGTCCATTATGGAGAAGAGTTCCTGTAATCATGGGCTCTCCAAAGCTCCTTAAGCCCCGGCTTTTATGGACCCGCATTTACAAGTTCCGCATTTGTGCGGAACTGGTAACTCTTACGTTGAAGACCTCTCCAAGAGCACTGCAGGTAGAGGCGGGCGGAGCTCGGGTAATGGAGTTGGGAGGAGGCATTTGCATCCTTCGACAGGAGTGGCAGGTAACGCAGTCACGTCCTCTGGAAAGGAGGGAATTCCAGACGCAACTGCCCCTGCTGAGAATTCTACATTGAACTATGCAGCTATCCGCATCCTATTATGGCATCCGGATCCACCACCGTGCTCGCACTTCCCATAGCCCTTTCGGTAAGCCTCACGTGGTGTTCTTACCGAAGGGAAAAGCCTTCCGTTACCACTCACCTGCGGCTCTGCTGTCCTCCCACTAGTGGCCAGATCCTGCACCAGCTGCTCCAGACGGGCGCTCATGCGGGTGAGCTCGCCCAGGTTGTCAGCGGCCCTTTCGCGAACCACCTGAACAGTGCACATGGACGGGGCCGTAACACAGAGGACACGGTGAAAGACCGAATGGACAAAAGCAAAAGATCTCACATGAAATGAGCAAGCATATAGAATGCCCACAGCGCAACCAGCCATGTTCCATGTTAACAGCTCCTTGCTCCTGTACCTACTGCACCGTCTCGGACACCTCTGTCTCTCGGACCCCGAACACTCACATCGCTCTGGTCGTTGAGGCACTTGAGGAAGGTGGTCTGCAGCTGCGGCACGAAGGGCTTGAGGCCTTGGCCCGCCTTGGCGATGAGCAGTCCCAGCGTGCCCAGAATTGCGGCCTTAATGGGCGAGGGGAAGCGATCGCCAATGATGCGGATGAGGGGGCCTGTAATGGACACCACGAACGGCTTGAGCGACTCCTCACTCGTCACTCCCACCAGCTCGCCCAAGCCTTCGGCGGCGGCCTCACGGACCTCCGCGCTGCTGCCCTGTGAAATGTACACAAGGGACAAGCGGACGCGGACCACAGTGGATCCTCAACGATGTCGTGTTGAACAGGACAGGACTCGTACTCTGCACCTTCGCTGGATCTGGATCTGTATCCAAGGCAGTGCCAGTTGGCGAACAAATCATGAAGGCCGTAATGCCCCACGATTACACGTCGACCTCCCTTCTGCATACCTGCAGCACGCCCTGCAAATAGATGGGCAGCAGAGGCGCCAGCGCCTTGGGCGGCACGCACAGCCCCGCCAGCAACAGCGGCCCGCCACGGCGCTTGCGGCGCTCCTTCTCCCTTGCGTCCGCAATTGCCACCTGGAAGCACGTGCGATACAAGCCGTAGATGAGCGCTCAATAGGCAAAATGCAAAATACGAAGCAGCAGCAGCATAAGGGCGGAGGGCAAATGGGCAGACCGTGCTTCGCCAGTACCGTAGGCGACCCCGTAGCCTAGAAGGAACGGATCAATGGACAGGAGGAACGAATCAATGGACATTAAGGGGCCAAAACGACGCAGCGGATGAACAGAGGAATAGTAGGCATGAAAGGCGGGGAACACAGGCGAAGAGCAACCGAACAGGCGCCAAGTGGCATGGGTTCCCAACGCAAGCCTGGTCCGACGGACATTTGCAGAGTGCGGATGAGTCGCGACCGCCTTAAAGCCTCGAAAGGAGGGTAACGTAGAGCGTGAATCGCACCGTCGCGACACCCAGCTCGCCTACAGTGCAGCCCCTACCTACCTTGAGGCAGTTGACATACTCGGGTAGCGCCTCCTTCGGGATAGAGCCACATACGGCCTCCAGCGCCTTCCAGGTAACGAGCAGCTCCTCGGGGGTGGAGTCCTCCGCCAGCAGCAACACCAGGGACTGGGCAGGAACGGACAGATGGCCAGGTGGGCGGTATGACCGGATTCAAGGCGGTCAAAAGCACGCAAGGGGACAAGGGACCGATGCTCCTGTGAGGAAGAGAGTGGAATGCCTGATGCGGGTGCTGGGCCTGAAGGAATTCGCGCAAGATAGGTTATGTCTTTACGCGTGTACCCTGCGGTACCCGGCCGCCTAGCACAGCGCCCCTGGCGTTCGTGTCCCTCAGCCGCCCCGTCGTTAGGATTGCCACCCCAGCCAACCCGGACCGTCTGCTGTCCATGCTCACCTGGATGAGCTGTGGCACGTGTTCCTGGAAATCATGTTTAGAATGGCTCGCGAAAGAGGTGATCAGCTGAGCGGCTCCATGGCGAGTGCCCGGGTCATCCAGAGCCTGTGGGAAGAGGAGGGGCAGTTGAGGGGTTCTTGCTCTCAGTGCAAGGACGAGGTCAGGGATTGGGCCAATCAGGGAGGGTTCTGAGAAGCGCGTCTTGGGCAGGGCGGTCGTGTGTTCCGTCGTCTCACCCCTTTCTCACTCGTGCGCATAACTAGCCGTACACAGCTAGTGTTAACTAGCATGAGTAACTTAGTGGTATGAATGGCGTTGCAGTGGGGCCGCAGGATAACAATTAGCACATTACCATGGACAAGGCCAATCCCTGTGGCACACCCATGGCCCAACAGTAATGTGATTTGAACAGAGAATATTTGGGCGGTAAGCGTCGATCAGGGACAAAGGTACCTATGGGGGGATTCAGCGAAATGAAACCACCGAATCCACACCGTCCATGCAGCAAATGCTGAAAGGCCCGCAACGGCCCCGCGTACCTTAACCATTTCCGGGACTAGCAGGTGCAAACCCTCCTCGTCCACGCCCGCCGCAACCGCCACCGCCGCCTCCGCGGCAGCAACCCGACCCGACGCAGTCACCTCGGCTTGGTCATGCCCATCCGCTGCCACCACCAACCGCGAGCCCGAGGCCGCGGCCAACAGCGCCGGCAGGATCGCGTCCAGGTGGTTGTTAAGGTGCGAGTCGACGACGCCTGCCAGCTCGCCGAGCGCACGGACGTTATTCAGCAGCAGCGGCCGATGCAGCAGCTTGGGGCACACGAAATGGAAGATCTGTGGCCTGACCTGCAGGATGACGCGAAGGCCTTCCAGGCTCTCGCGGTAGCGGCGGTCGTGCTCCAGGCCAGCAAGCATGGACGGCACAACGCCGTCGACGGCGGAGCCACCGCCGGCGCCACCAGATCCCTTGAACAGGATGCCAAAAGCGGCACCGGCTGCCTCGCGCACGCCAGCGTCGGTGTCGGTGAGAGCGGACTGAACAGTGGGCAGCACCTCGGCGAGGTGCTCCTGCAGCTGGTGGCGACCCAGGTTGTCCAGAACCTGTTACAAGGCGAACAGGTTCCGAACGTGTCAAGTTATGATGGTGTACGGATGGTGTGCGTGGGGCCATAGAAACAAGGAGCTCATCAATTGCAAGGGCCCAACACGTCAAGTCGGCTAACGGTGTATGCTACAGCTCACGGTACGACGCAGAAGTGCTACTCAGGAAGAGGCAAAAGAAACGCTGGTCGCGCACTGTCCCTCCCATCCTCCCTCCCTCCCCGCACCTCACCTCTTTCAGTCCCAGGCATACACCTTGCCGCGTGGCAGCACTCTCTGAGCTGATCCCCTCCCGTAAGATGGGGATGATGCGCGCCAACACGCGCTCGCCCATCTTGCGTACCAACTCGCCCAGGCAGCGCGCAGCCGCCTGGCGCCGGTCGTCGCCCTCGTCCGCCAGGCTCTCGATCACAAGCTGCATTAGGTCCGGTAGGATCTGGCCCAGAGTCTTCGGAGTGTTGACCACCACCGTCTTCCACACATGAAGCGCCTCCTGCCGTACCGTATACTGCACGTCCGTACGGACGATATACAGGCGCGCAAGCACCTCGTTACGGCGTTCCATGCCCAGCGCCGCAGTAATGGCCTCGCCATACGACTCCTCCGCGATGCCCTCCTCGTCCTCATGGCCGTCCAAGATGACGTTGCCGCTTGCGCCCGCAATCTGCATGCATGTGTGTATATGTGTTAAGAGGGCAACATCGCCTGCTTCCTGCCTTAAATGTACCACCGCTTGCGTGTGCGCGACTGTCGGCGTGCACTTGGGCGGGGTTACTATTGCGTGTATGTAGGAAAGCCGGCAGGGGAGGCACGGGACGCACCTTGAACAGCAGCTTGCCCAGCAGCTTGACGGAGGACTGCCGGATGCGCCAGTTCTCCGCAAAGACGCCTTCCTCCACGGCGGGCAGCAGCAGCGGAAGGGCAGTGCGGGCGTAATGGTCCACCAGGATGCGGCCTGAGGAAAAGGTTTGGCGGAGAGGACAGAGGAATTGAGGAGGTCCGGACGGGTAAGAACATGAAAATAATTTTCTTCAAATCAAGGCGGGAAATTGAGCAGAGTAATAGGCAAGGGGAGTGGAGGAAGCAGAAGGGAAAGGCAGACCGGAAAGGCACAAGAGGGTGCAAACGGGAGTGGAAAGCTGCATACCTAGTAGGCGACGCACGCAACGCAACGCTACGCCACGCACGCACACATTCACAAGGCAACCATGCAATCCGCAGGAATCTGCAAACCGTTTGTAGCGCCTTGCCGGCCCATGCCCCAGCGCAGTCGCACTCTGGAGCGTACTCGTAAAATGGCCCCGCCTCCACGCCCCCAGTTCTACCCTTTCCTAGGACATTCTACACGCACGGCCATCGGCGGTACCCACCTGCTGCCAGTGCCGCGTCCCGCACCCCCTCTGCCTCATCGCTGAGGCCATCCAGAATGGCGGGTAGCACACGGGGCAGGTGCACCTGGAGGTTTACGGGAGAGCGGCAATGAGGCGAAGGGTGGCGTCAATGCCAGGGCATGGACTCGGACGAGGCACAGGTCGTGGCACCCCTGACCTCCCTTCCCACTCCCTTTCCTTCCTTCCCTCTCTCCCATTCCGTTCATTCTTCCCGCACCTGCAACGAGTCCTCCATGGTGAGTGGCAGGTACTGGAACAGGGTAAGGGCACCCTCGCGCTGTGCGGGTCTCGACCTGGCCCCCGCAGAGGCCAACACGTCTGGCAGCAGCGCGTCCAGGTGGTCAGGACCCAACACCGCCAGAACCTCGGCAAGACCCTGCGGAGGCAGCAAGCCGCGGATACGGAGGTGGAGGTGCAGGAGAAATAGAGAGAGAGAGCAAATGAGGAGGAAGAGAGGAGAAGAAGCCGCGGGATCGCGGATAAAAGGAACATACAGCATGGCAACGCGACTCATCCCCAAGTCGCTCATCAGGGCCTCAACTCATCGCAATAAGCACCCACGTCTTTTATCCTCCCTGCCGCCCATCTACCTGCGTTCAATCCCCCCACCGTCTCGATTTTCCACCCGGCAAGCCCACCCACCTGCGCCGCTCCGCTGCGCTCCACGCTGCTGCTCTCACTGGCAAGGGTCTCCAACAACCAGGGCACCAGGTGGCCGAATGTCTCCTGACCCATACCCTATTTAAACGCAGGTGGTCACGGAGTGCGGACGAGGTTAGGCGGGTTAGGTTATCCACGAGGTCAAACGCGGGGAGGGTCGGGATCGACCGGGGTGAGGAGAGGGACGACGTACAATTGGAAGTTTCGTGCATTGAAGGGAAAACAAGACGAAAGGCCAACGGGCCGAGGTGGAGAAAAGCACAGGGGCCAATAGCGTTGCAGGCAACGCGCGACTGCGCGGGTAAGCGCGTGTTGCTTTCTTCCCCTCCTAAACCCCGAAACCTTTGCCGGTTTAGTCCCCTCGCTCTGGTCAGCCCATTTCTGTGCACCCATGCTGCACCGTGACGCCGCCTCATTCCAAAACGTACTACTCGACCATTTCTTCGCCCTCAGCCCACCGCTAGTCCTGCCCCTCCTCCCCTCCTTGCACCCTTACCTTCATGAGCGAGCCAATGGCCCGCGCTGATACGGCACGGACCTCAGGTAGCGGATCCACCAGCGATTTTTGCAGCTCCGGCATCAGCAGTGGCACGTAAGGGCTCATATCCTAACGGGCAAAGAACGGCACAGAGGAAAAGCATGGGCGGAGAAGCCTTTGGACGAGGTATGCAACGATGTAACAACCGATAGGTCCCAGGGGAAATTGGAAAACCTTGGAGCGAATATGGCAGCACTGCGAATGGATTGAAGCCGGGGAAGACGGAAGGGTAGCAACATATGCCGTCACGTCCTGTACACTGCCAGCGGCCGTGGGAATATGCCAGCCGCCGCCCGCGACTGCATCCTTCTAAGCTGAAGCTTAACAGCTAAACCTGTCTGACACCTTAAACTGGTACAGCATCCCAAACACACAATGTTCCGCCCCCTACAGTCACGGGCGTGCTGTTGTGGCCCGTGTACGTTAGTCTCCCCGCAAGCACCGCCAGGTGCTGGCCTTACAACCCCCCAAGTATACATCCCCAGGCCCCGCTTCGCGCACCTTGGCGTCGTTGACCAGCGAGCACATGGAGCCCACGGTGCGTGCGGCTCGCTTCTTGGTGTCACCCGAGCGGTCGCGCAGGCCTCTGTGCACCACTGGGACGATGAGCGCCAGGGAGGGCGCGTCGATAGTGTTAATGAACACCGTGTCCAGCAGCACATCCAGGCAGGCGCGCGTAGCGTTGTTGGGGTCAGCGATGGCGGACAGCAGGGAAGGCACTAGGCGCTGCACCTCGGGGTTACGGATGACGCTGCCAATCTGCGATCAGCAAGGCGGCGTCGGCACAGATTAGGCGTGTGAGAGTATAAGGTTCAGAGATGGGAGGTGAAAATTGGGTGCCAGATGCCAGCGACAGGGGAAAATGTCGCGGGAAACGGCGGGACAGACGGAAGGTATGTCACTGTCCTGAATGCAATGTATGGCATGTGTTGATGAAAGCCGACACATAAAAGGTGCAGTGCGCAAAGGTATGTGTACCTATGTCAAGGATGACTATTAAGGGGAAGGCGACTCAGGAACGTCATCCCGAGCAAGCGCAAAGGATGGTACAGCTGCGCCATATGGAAAGGGCACCGTGGCCGAACCCAGCCACCCACCTCGTTGAGCGCCTCCTGCGCTGCAGCCTGCACCTTGGGGTGCGGGTCGCTGAGCACCTCCCCGAGCTTGGGCACAATGGTGGGCAGGCAAGTGCCCAGCTGCTTGGGCGCACAGTGAGCCATGGCGCCTAGCAGCTGTACGCTACCCTGTTTGGTACGCCAGACCTTGTCCTCCAGACCCTTGAGTAGCGCAGGGAGGACCAGCTTCACACCTGCAGGGAAAGGGTACAGATCGGGTCAGGGACCGTGCCGCGTACACCATAGCGCTGTTGCTGTGTTACTTGTTGTGTAAGGAAGGCCCCAGGGAACGTGTGCCAAGAAGACGAACTATGGAAGTAATAGGCAGGCTATACGGCAGAGAAGAACAGAAAGGCGCATTGTGCTGCGCGGAAGCACGGAGATGGCGGTGGGACCGAAGGCTATGGAGAAGTGCGTGCCATACGCATCGCGCGTGATGCTTGCGGGGGAGGCGACGCAAGAGACTCGGGGTGCATATCCCATATCTCAATTTTTACGGCCCTTGACCATCAGCGGCACGCACCGAACTCCGCACAGCACATGCCAGCTCCCATCCCGCCAGCCCCTACGCCACTTACCTGACGCGGTCAGCTGGCCCATGATCATACGAGCCGCGTCCTCCGTTGCCTGTCGCACCTGCGGTTGTAAGAGACGCGACCGGGGAAGGGGGCCGCCGTGAGCGGTGTCGACGCCGTGAGCCGTGGGTGGGGTCTTGCAAACTGGTCAAGTTCTACGAGAATGACCGGAACGTGCGGGGCTCGCCCAGCTTGGCGCCAGGGAGCCTGAGGGCTTCTTCTGGTGCAACGCAGGCAGACAGGCAGTCTGGCATGTTGTGTCCGGGTGTAGATGACCAGAAGAACCGGTGGCGTCCAGGTGTGCGGTGCTTTTCATCTACCCGCCTGGGCCCTTCGAGGCTTTACCTGCGGGCTGGGGTCGCCGAAGCAGTTGAGCAGCATGGGCAGCACGTGAATGACGTAGGGCTCGAAGAGCTTGCCCAGTTTGTCAGACAGGCACTCGAACGCCAGCAGACCGCCCTCGCGAACCACCGGGTCCTTCTTGTCCTGAAAGTGGGATTGGGAAGCCGCCCACAGAGGGACCGAGTTGCGATTCAGAGCTTAAGAGCTGCCGTTAAAGTCTCTGGTTGGGATGGGTTCAAGCCTGTCGAGCGACGGAAAGATTGACGGCGGCAATCTGCCAGGGTAAAAGAAAACGCAAACATGTGAATGGCTTCGTTACACAGAGGATGGAGTTGAAGACCTGAAAAGGCTTGCGGCTTTCTGCAGTCGGTGCTGAAGGGGCTGCCACTCATTCTGCCGAGTCCACTGGCCAGAGCAACAGAACAGGTGAGCAGTACGCACACGCCACACCGACGTGTGGCCCCAAGCACATGCCGTTACGGATACCCTCGTTACCCTCGTTCTAGTTGGAACGCCTATGTATTACTTTTAAAAGGGCGCGCTTCACCCTAAGGTCCCCAAGCTGCATCCCAATTCCTGCAAGAACACAGACCAGTACAAAATTAAGAACAAACCCACCCATCCCTATCTCCGTCTCCTCTCTAATCCATGCTATCCTCCGTACCTCCACTGCAGCTTTGAGGCTCTCCATGATGTTGAAGTTCTTCATGGCCATGATGCCCAGACCCTTGACCAGGCCCGACAGACCAAAGGCAGCGCCACGTCTGGTGGCATGTGAAGAAGCCAGACATACCTTCAAAAAGGTCTCCCATGATCCAGGTGATATCAGTCGTGATGCCAATGCGGTCCTAATGCTATTCTGGACGTGCGTTTGGGCGCTTAGAGCTTGCTGGGCAAACGACTAGTGTCTCAAGGGCGTCGAAGCACTGGCTGGCAGGGGAATAAAGAAAGGAATGGGCCCCTTCCCGCTGGGCCTTTTCGCTCGGGGTGTCTAGCCCGCCACTTGCAGCTGTCATAAACACCCTAGAGCAGAATAGACGTGCCCACGTCGTGGCCGGGGCCCATGCCAGTGGTAAGTCGTCAGCCTGACGCACCTCTCGCCGTACGTGGCGCCCTTGGTAAGCTGCGCCAGGAGCCTGTCCACCAGACCCTGTTCCGAAGGGGCGCCAACAGAAACACCGAACCTGTTGATATGCATACCTTGTACAGGGTATACGGGTCCAAATGGCTGCATGTTGCGCGTAATCCCATGGATCATAAACACGTGGTCCATATCCGTTTAAACGTACATCTGTCATAACCCCGCACTGGCTGGGCATTTGGCACGCGAATAAATTTGTATAACAGGGCATATGCTTGAATGCAGCGAGAGTGCATGGATTCATGGGCTATCGGCAACATCTGCGGGGCCCTGATTTCTCCCGTTGTGAATAAAGTTCTGCTGCAAAACACAGGCAAAGCAAGCCTGCGCGTCGCATGCATCGTCCATGGCACCGGCAGAGGCAGTGCCTTCACGTAACCTCGGCCTCCTGCACCTAAACTGAATCTCCCGTTTTCAACCAGGTCATCGCTCGACACGCTTACCATCTTCACCTCTTTATGTTCCCTTCTCTCCCTTCGTTACAGTCTCAGTCATCTTCTTGATGTTGATGTTGATCTTAATGTTAACGTTCATGTCCTCCCTTTTTGCGATGCTTACCTTCTGAACCCCCCAGCCTACGCCTACGCCTCACCTGCGTGTACTCAGTGTTCGATGCCAGCGGAGCCACAAGCGGCGGCAGGCAGTTCGACACGGAGCGCTGCACGGACTCGGACGGAGTACCCAGCACCCCCATCAGCAGGTCCAGAGCAGCAGCCCGCTTGGGGTCCGACGGCGGCAGGTGGCGGGCGATGGTGCCCAGCAGTACCACCACACCTGACGGGGATGTACGGAGCATAGGATGGTATGGCGAGCAGGACAGGACAAGACCGGACAACCACAGCCACCACCGTTAGCGCGAACAAGCCGACCGTGCGTGCGAAGCCTCTCTCAGCAGGAAGACGAGCCTCGTGCCGCGGACTCCACTCCCGAAACTTGCCACATCTTTAAGACGCACCGTGCCTGCGGCCTGAGCCCCTAAGGCCATCAGCACGATCAGCAGTGGTGTGGCACGCCAGCTTCTTTCCCCGTGCCCTGCGCCTCCTGCTTACCCTCCCGGACCAGGTCAAAGCGTGACTCCTCCTCCGCGCTGGCCCCACGGCCCTTGCGGTCCAGGTGGCTTTCAAACAGCGGCAGCAGCCGGGGGGCGTGCAGTGCGCCATGGCAGTCCAGAATCGCCATGCCTAGAGGAGGGGGTTGGGATGGGATGGCATGGGATGGGGGCCGGGATGGGGTTGCCCTGCTAAGCATCTATCCAGGGCAGACCGTGGAGGGAGCTACAACGCATGTCTCCCCAGGGCACACAGTAAGGCATGCGCGCCGATAGATCTGCTTGAGCTACATAACGCAGGAGGGCTGAGGAAGGCCGGAAAAGCATGGACGCGCGATGCATCGGGGATAAGGTGACCCCATAGATGCAGGAATGAGAGACTTGCTTCTCAATCATAGCTGCCTAGGGGACAGGAGAATAGGCCATACCAGGAAACAAATAATAACGAAAATGGTGGCAACAGTCGTGGCGGGGCCGCCTATTTTCCAGTACCCGCAGTCAAAAGCACCTTCACACGTTCTCGCAGACGCACGGCTGCAAACCGCCTGCTGCTCTCCAACTGCCTCAATAGCACTCAGCAGGCAGTGCGATACATCGCCACACATCCTGTACAAGATCACCAAAACAAATTGTGCACACACACTTGCCACTTCTCTTGCTGCAGCGCAGCCAAACTCACCAGCGGCCACCATCTCCTCGCGAACCTTCTCGTCCTCGTCCGCCAATCCGCGGCCAATGAGGAAGTCCAGAGCTGGGTTGACGTCCAAGTCGCCCAGCCGCGGGGCAATCGATCGCAGCGCCACTGCGACGCCCACCCGGCTAATGAGGCTAGCATCTGGGGCCCGCGGGCGAGTACAGACACACGGGAGTAAAAGGAGGCAATGCTCCTTTAAAGGCTTCAAGCCTCTTCCCCTCTTTCCCAAAATCCGCACCTGGCTCGTACATTCCCACAACCGCCGCTAAAACATCGGGGACAGCTTCCGAGTGCAGCTCCATGCCCGCGGCTAAGGCGGCGGCAGCGCTGAACTGCACATCGCGTGCCTCGGATGCCAGCACTACGGTCAGAGGAGTGGGGGGAAAGTATCATGAGTGGCAGGGCAAGCGGGAAAGCTTATGTTCACAAATGCACCAGCACTCAGTAATCAAGCAGCCTAGACATCCACGATGAGGAGGAACACATCATGGTATTCCAATTTCAGGCAGGTATATCCAAATTGGGAATCAAAATTTGCGATGTAGCCCCCAAGCTTTCTTTGTCGCATTACAGAATCCACCTCTCCCAAGCCCTAATACATTCCTGATCGATGAGAAATTTCCTACTCATCCCTGACTATTCGCTCCACACACATCCACACTCACTCTCTACCAGCCTGAACAGTGCCCCATGGCCCAGCTCCGCGCAGCACGAGTTCCACAGCGCGGCCGCTGCCGCCGCGTTGTCCTCACTGCCTACATCATGGCGAGTCATCCATAGCAGCGCCGCCGCCGCATCGTCGCCGGGCGGCAGCTGACCCTCCGCCAGCAGCGGTACGGCGGGCAGCGCTGCCAGCGCTGCGGCACGCACGTTGGGCGCGGGGTGGGTGAGGCCCGAGAAGGCAGCGGGCAAGTCCTCCTCCAGACAGCCCGCGCACAGAGAACGGAGCAGCGGAATGATGCGGTCCCTGGGGCGGACGAGAATACGAACGAGGGTGGATACTGGCTGCTCAAGGCTGCTCAAATGGTCCTGTAATAAAAGATGCGTGTCAGTTCATCAAGATCCTTCAGCATCACGAGCTGCCGAGGCAACTTGGCGGCTTGGGAATAAAGCTATACCAGTTTCACCGTCTACCGCATCTACAATAATGCCGCGAAAAGAGCCTCCCCCGAAGGCCAACATCACCGTGGAAAAGCACCCCCTCCCGCCCCCATATTACCCCTCACCTGTACGCTGGAATAACGCCCAGCAGGTGGTACAGCAGCTCCAGGGATGCCCGTCGGGGAATGTCCAGACCGGGGGCCACGTGCAGCGCCACCACCGCCACGCACTCGTCGTGGAGCAGTGTGTGCACCGGACTCAGGAGCACAGCCTGGAGGGGCGAAGGGAACAAATCCACCGGCGACAGCAGGGCCGCGGCAAGGGGCACTTTGAAAGGCGGAAGTGGCTGGCCTCGTAGAACGCCATTATCCCGGTGCCTCAGCGCGGTGATTAAAAGCCACAGTCCTGGATGCTGCGCGCATTCCTAAATAAATGGCGGATTGCAGTCCGTGTCCCACATCTAGAACTAATTTCTTACGAACAAACTACAGCCGCGTACCTGCAGCACAGGGAAGACATAGCAGTAGGAGCTAGGCGGTAGCTGCTGCGCCACCGCCGCCGTCACAGCCGCCAGCGCATGCACTACGGACGCCACGGCGGGTCGAGAGGCCACCTCACGGTAAGACAGCCCGCGGCCGCTCTGCGCCTGGGACACCAACCTCAGGCAGGCGGTGAGCGTGGTGGCGGAGGCGCCTAGACGTCCAGGCATGCAGGTGCTGAGAGCGCGGACGGCATCGAACGCGGCCTCGCCTGGCGGGGTTGTGAAGGGAGCGAGATCAAGTGGACAGCGGCAGAAATTCAGACAAAAAATGATGCAGAGAAGGCGTTAAGGAACACCAGTCGGATCATTCCTCCCTGCGGCGGTGGGGGAATGTAGAGAGAGGCAACAAGGTTGCAAGTAAGCAGGGGGTAATACTCATAGGACCATACCCGCTCGGTCGACGGGATAGCCTGGACTGTATTCGCCTAATCCGGAGAAGGCGTCCGGTTTAGCAACACCACGAAGCTTCGCCGCCGGAACAAGCATAGGTGCTTTCTTCTGTCCTAGCAACCGGGAGGATCCCCTGTTTTGCGCTTCAACAAAAAGCTTGTTTCGT